TATTTCCAGTTTCCAACTACAGGTACTTTAGATCCACACACAAAAAAGAATTTCAAAATGTCTCACACACAAAGGAGAGTCTCACAAGGTGGAAATTTTAGCAAGGATAAAAGTAGGGAGAAATTTCAAAAGAGAGAGGAAAAAAAAAAAAACACCTCTTAGAAGTACCAGGGTAGGAGACAAGCTTAAAAATGGCAGCCCTTTTGTGGGTTCTATATGCTGAACTGGGGAATTACACAGCTTAAGTTGAAGACTAGCAACTCATAATAACTACACAATAGTTCTGGGTGACCAAGATGGGTGCTAAGACATGGAGATGTGATCTAGGCCTACCCCAAATACAGAAACAATAGGTGACTTTTAGGAATTCCTTTTGCAAGACATGCTTTTCACTTTTCTGTCTCTCTACCCATTCAAGGAAACTTGTACCTTCCTAACATCTTAAAAGGGACACAGATGCAGGTAGCTCCTCTCATTTCCCCGTAAATGTAAATTAACATCTAAAAGGATATGATGGGAGGAGAGCTTGCTGCTTCTTTTTTTTTCAAGTTTTTACTTCCTGGTTCCAATGTCTGAGTCTGGCCATTTTAATATTTATTAAAAACTATAATTTCCCTGTCTCCTTGTCTATCTATTCTGCCTCAACCTGAACCAATGAAGTCTCTTTTCTCCTTGAACCATTTTATTTTTTACTTTATGTGTGTGTGTGTGTGTGTGTGTGTGTGTGTGTGTGTTTTGCTGATCAAACCCAGGGCCTCACATATGCTGAACACATGTTCTACTTCTGAGCTATATATCCCTAACTATTCAGAGGGCCTGAATAGTTTGTCTCCTGCTGACCTCTCCCTTACCTCATCTGTGTGCCACTATACCTGTACTCTACATTATAGGTGCTCTGCTTTTCTGTCAATTCCTAGAAAAATCCATACTCCTAGGGAGGCTGAGGCAGGAGGATCACAAGTTTGAGACTAGCCTTGATTACATAGCAAGTGCTTGTGTCAAAAAACAAAACAGGAAGTAAGGAAGGAAGGAAGGGACAGAAGGTAGGTAGGTTTTTGTTGGCTTTGTGTCTATTGGGCGTGCACTGGGCCAAGGCAGGACTTGGTTTGGTTCTTACAGTTCTCTTTCCTCCACCTTCAAATCTGCCAGAGATTTGTCCTTGCAAGCTTTCTTGACCATTGTGTGTAGACCCACACACAACACACATGCTTATACAATGGACTGTAAGTTTCCTGTGGGCAGAGACCACATGAGACTTGTGCAGTGTCATTACTTCAGCCCCTGGCATTGTACCTGGCACAGAGTAAGTCGTAAGACATTTTGTGGGCAAGTTCCTGGAATGTGTCACACCTGTTCTCCTTCCATTCTGCTTAGAATTCTTTCCTTAGTCTTTGCATAACCATCTTCTCAGGAAGGCTTTCCTTGGTCATAGATTCTAAAACACCCTCCCCCATCCTTTCCATTACCTCGTGCAGTTTTATGTCCTTCATCATACTTATTATCATGCCCTGAGATTATCACTTTCACTTTTCGTTTTTTATTTATTTTCTGTCCCCAAATGTAAGATAAGAGAGCAGAGACTTTTCTCAACTAAAACTTTGCTTTCAGCATCCTCAGCTGTACCTGGTCCATTACTCAGTCTCAATATATACACACTGATTCAATGAATGAATGAATGAATGAATGTCAAGCAGACCACATTCCACTCATTCATATGCCTTGTTTTATCCAATCCTCACAATAATCTTATGAAGTAAGCAGTTTCATGCTTTAGTTTCACATTACAGAGAAGTAAACTAAACCTTAGAAAGTCCATTCGACCAAAGTCACATTTGTCAGTAACTTGAGAAGCCAGAATTCAAACACAGATGAGCCGTTCATTTTCTGTCTCTCCAAATATCTGCTTCATTTCTCATTATGCATGCCTGGAGATCGCAGCTGGGCTCCATGTAGAAAAATGAGATTCATACACTCCACCCCTCTCTCACTAGTGCTGTTAATCTTATCCTTACAGCCACAGGCAGAGAGAAAAGCTGGCAGTTGTAGCTCCTGCAACCTCAGATACATGAGGTAGAGCCTGCCCTGATGGGTTTACCACATACAAGGAAGTGGGAGAGTGTATACTGTTTTTAGATTTCCAGCTCCAAAAGACAGAGCCAAGAAGGGTCTAGCCTGAGCCTACACTACAACCTTTTCTCCAGTCTTCACCCCAGTTTCTTCCCGAGGGACTGGGGCCAGGCAAGGGAATGAGGGGCAGAGAGAAAAGGGCAGAGCTAGTTTCCTAATACTTCCAAGAAAGCCAAAGTTCCTGCTTAATGGATGAAAACATAAGACAGGGAGAAAGAGAAATTTCCCCCACCTCCAATAAGAAATTATACAAGAGACAGTCTAAACTTGCATTTAATAATGGAGAGTGTGGGCTGGGCTGGGAAAGAATTTTACTGTATTAGCAATTTCCGAGCTCAGCTGAGCTAACAAATTTAATCATATCACTTGTAAAAAAAAAATCACTCAGTTCCCTTATACTACATTTACCGTTTGAAGGATTGATAGTTGATTGACTGATTGAGACAGGGTCTCACTAAGTTGCCCAGGCTGGCCTGGAATTTTAAATTCCTTCTCAGGACCAGATCCTTCATGAACAGCTCCTGGCCCTCTGCAGCCAGTGAGTCTCCAACTGGCAGTCCCAGAACTCTGGCAGAGAAGCTGTGAGATCCTGCATTTCCCCATACCTTGGAGACTTTGTAAATGCCATTCTTTATTTACCTGGCTGCTTCCTGTGCAACTCTCAAGGTGAGGCAATTAACCAAGAGCATCTTGAAAGCAGCTTGTCTTGGGCTGCTCAGAATGGCTACATTTAAATGAGTTTCAGAAGTCAAACTTCCTGTGTACTGACTGAACCCAGGGTGTTATTTTCTTTTTTGTGCCCCACCTCCCCGTCTCCCATGTTGAGGAATCAAACCAGGATCTTGTTTATGCTAGGCACATGTTCTGCACTGAACTACATCCCTAGTTGTTGTTTTTGAGACAAGGTCTTACTATGTACCTCAGGTTGGCCTGGAAGTGAGTTCTCCTGCCTCTTCCTCCTGAGTGCTGGATTACTGGCATATGCCACTATGTCCAGCACCTCCCACCTTTTTTTTTTTTTTAATATGGTACTGGGGTTTGAACTCATGTGTTACACCTTGAGCCACTCCACCAGCCCTTTTTTCTGTTGGGTTTTTCCGAGACAGAGTCTTGCAAACTATTTGCCCAAGCTAGTTTGGAACTGAGATCCTCCTGATCTTTCTGCTTTCTGAGTGAATAGGACTATAGGCGTGAGCCACCAGTGCCTGGGTACTACCTACTTTTAAAACAGATCCAAGCCACATAGTGAAAGACACTTCTAAACTCATTAAGAAATGAGAGAGAGAGGGAGAGAAAGAGAGAGAGAGAGTGAGAGAGAGAGAGAGAATTATAAACAGAAATGAATTGGTTGGAGTGCTTAAAAGTCAGGAAACCACCTTCAAGGGACATTAAGAAGGCTTCTAAGCTAGGTAGCCTTGACTTGGTGTAAAAGGGTGGGATGGTTTAGAGTCTACACTGAAAGGAAACAGATGGTAAGCCTTGGGGGTAGTTAAAAGCAAGTGGTAACAAACACGGGTACTTCCCAAGTCCCTCGGTTTGCCGTCTGGGACATGCCTACAATAAGGCCCTAAGAAAAATGGAATACTCACGAGTACTGGAATGCAGCAACAACAAATCATCCTAACAAGTAAACAAGATAAGAATTTATCTTCTTTCCCATTGGGAGCATTTGGTTTTAAAATCTAATTTGTGGCTAAGCGTTACCAGTACAAACCTTTTCATTGCCGTGTAGGATGGGTATTGCAGAGTCCTGCAGGACAGGGAGCTAGCACTTGAGTTTCATGACTAGAGCAGGACAAGGGCACACACTGGTTGACCAAACTGGATGTGTCCATAAAACTGAATTCCAATTCAACTATAAGCATCCCGAGACTGCTTCCAATCCTAGGTGGCAACCCAACTGAACTTTCCACCCATGAACTTTTACATGGAGCATGGAAGAGCATTTTCTGTGGGTGTAAACGTAAGGAATTAAGAGCTGGAAGTGCCTCATTGGTCAATGCATAAATCAGGCCACACTGACAGCTCAATGTGACAGGGGAGTGGAGGAAGAGGCAGATATGAAACTTGAATAAAAATCCTGAATAGTCTGAATGCACCAGGTCCTCACTCTCTTTTAAACTAATATTTCTCACTGCTCCATTCATTTGGAACTAATTGCAGCTTTGTGACAGCTCAGAAATACTTTCACATTGCTTTTAATTATCTCCCATGTCTATGTGTTTGTACTGTAGTATACTGTGTTAGGCCACCAGAGGAGTGGGACTATCTTTTCGATGTTGAAACCCCTTTCAACATCTAACACAGTGCCTTGCATTTTATACCCTCAAAAAAATGCTTGAGGTGGCTTGCTCCTGTAATCCCAGCATTTGAAAGGTCGAGGCAGGAGAATTGCAAGTTCGAGACCAGCCTGGGCTATATGCTGAGACCCTGCTTCAAAACAAACAAACCCACCTGAGGAATTAATGAATGCACTTCTTTGTAGAAGGAAAGAAGTTAGGATGAAACTTTTTTTGTGGGAGTGGTGGTACTGGGAGTTGAACTCAGAGCCTTGGCATTTGCAAGGCAAGTGCTGTACTAGAGCCACACAGCCAGCCCCAGGATGCAATTTATTTCATTCACGGCTAGAACGCATATTTTCCTGTTTATTTCAGATATGAATCAGTTAGTCAGCATAAATTGTGCTTTTTGTTATATTGTTTTGAGGCAAGTGTCTCACTAGGCAGCCCAGGCTGGTTTCAAACTCCTCACCCCCCTACATCCGCCTGCATAGTGCTGGGATTATAGACGTGAGCCACCACAGCCGGCTCTTAAATCGTGTTTTAAATGCTCACCAGGTGTAGGAAATTCATCATCGCACAGTAATAAAGTGGGCGGGGATCTGGTCGGCTCAGAACGGAGAGGAGGCGGAGTCACAGAGAGTTTGAGCATTTTTGTCCAATCAAAAGGAGCCGGTAGGAGCAGGGGAGATAAAGCGGGAGCCGGAGCCAGAAAATCCTGCCCAGTTACCGCAGCCAGCCGCTAGAGCTGCAGCTTCTGCCCACCGAAAGCGGCCGAGTCCTAGGCCTACTCCAGCAATGGCCTTCGCAAGTCTGCGCAAAGTACTCATCAGTGACAGCCTGGACCCTTGCTGCCGGAAGATCCTGCAAGATGGAGGGCTGCAGGTGGTGGAGAAGCAGAACCTGAGCAAAGAGGAGCTGATAGCGGAGCTGCAGGTAAGGTGAGCGGGAGAAGCGAACTCCCCGGAGCATCCTCAGCCCAAACAGGCCTAGCGCACCCTCCCCCCCCAACACACACCCATGTCTCCTGAGAAAGCGCGGGAAAAGTGGGGCGGGGGTAAAGACGGGCTGCGAACTGCAGGATGCAGGCTGGGCAGAAAGTTTGCAGCCGCGTGCTGCTCTTTGGCGTGATTCCCGCGAGCATTGCAAAGTGCAAGCTGCTCCAACTGGTCCTGCGGGATGCCACCGCGGCTGCAGCGCCTTCGCGCCTAGTGGCCTTGGCAGCTGGACGCCTCCCCTTGCCTGGGAACCTCAGGGTAGGGGCGCCAAAGTGGCGTCCTCGCGGGGAGTCCAGGGCTGGCCACCGTTCTCGCACTTGGCCTTCTCTTCTCCTTGGTTGCAGGGGGAACAGCAGAGGAGGGCGGCCCTGTAGGGGTGGCGGCGCGCACCGCCTTTGTCTGATGCAAGACCGCGGGGAGCTTTCACCGCCCCTCGGTCTCCGGGGAGGCTCGGGGAAGGGGCGGGCCGGGGCGCCCACGCGGCCTCATCGCAGATCAGGAGAGACCTGAATCCGATTCCAAGCGCACCAAATTTTTAGGGAGGTGTCTCTGATTGTTACGCATAATTAGTTTAATCGACTTAAAATCTTTGCCTTGTTTAGAAAGGTCCTGCCAAGTTTGGTAACCTTGCCCAGTCTTTGGACATTTATTTCGTGAACGCTTCACTCCGGTTCCTGCCCTCTAAATAATCCAACCAGCTGCCCAGTCTCTGCTTCACCCCATCCGAGCTGTCCTTCCCCCACCTCCCCACGCCCCACGTGCGCGCGGTGCCAGCTCGCGCCAGGCTAGGCGCAAGTGTGCGCCCCTGCCACCCGCGCACAGAGGCCCCTTAACCCGCTGACGCTGCACAGTTGAACTAGCTGTCCTGGAAACTGCCTGCTCTCCCCGGACCCTGCCTCCACAGCCCCCTGCCCCTGTGGTTCAGTATCCAAGGGTTCAGATCCTGTCCTGGTCTCAGAAGTTTCTGACTGGTCCCTATATTCAAGGAGCTTATAGGAGCCCAGTGTACGGTGGTACACAGTTGTAATCCCACCACTGTGGAGAGTGAGACAGAAGGATCGAGAATTCGAGGAGCATGTGAGGAGCCCTACCTGTGCAGTGTAGCTAGACCCTGTTTAAAAATTAAAAAAAAACTTGTAGGCTATGCAGAGAGCAGCACTGCTGCACGCATGAGAAGACTGATCAATCAGGCGACACAATACCTAAGTGCTGAGAGCACCTAGCAGCCGTGTCTGTGCCCACTCCCCTGCTGGAACGTTCAGAGAAGGGGCTGTCATCTCTGACAGTTTTGGAGTCAGGGACTCTTACCCTGACCCTAAAGCACAGGTAGGATCGGATGGGGCAGGCTTCCCCCACTGTCACCCCCTTTCTTAATATCAATGGCACAGGAAGGCAGTGGAGTAACCTCGGACCAACTTCAAACCCGCTCCACCTCCAGCGCATCAGTGGCCAGAAACATCGTGCTTTGACTCTCCAGTGGAATCGATAAATCTTATACCCCCATGAGGGGGACAGCTACAGAGGGAGGCCTCACCAGCAATGGGGGGCGGGGGCGGGGGTGGGGTGGGCTGAAACTGGAGAATACTTACAAGGCTTTGAGAACTTGGCTAAAAAGGAGTGGTGTTTGCTGGCCCGCTTGGTGGTGGGCATTGTTAGGCTGAGTACTCAGCCTTGCTTGGTAAACCCTCAGTTCAGAATGCCAATTAATCTCCTGAGCAGCTGGCTGAGAGGCCGTCATTTCTACACATTTTATTCCATGGAGAGGGATCCGGTGGTGTCTCCGGGCCTTTTCCCTCCATAACTTATCAATGCTCAAACAAAGTTTTGCACCTTGATTGAATTGGTCCTGGGTCACATTCTAGGCAGGTACGTTTAACTTTCTCCTCTCCAGTCAGGAGGTGTAATCACCCCCCAACCCCAGTGGTGCATTTCAGGCTTGAACCAAGTCACAGCTCACTGGGGACAATGAAGTTGGAGTAATGAGTCGTGATTAGCATTTTAAAAACCAAAATAGGAAATAAACAGAAATGTAGATAGGCATTTGGTTTCAATTACATGTGCTGGGGGCGGGGGAGTATGTGAGCAGAGCCACAACTTAAAGATGTACTTCTTTGAGTCTTGGTCAAAAAAAGTTTGGAAAAGGGCAAAGGCTGTAGCTCAGTGGTTTGAGCACTTGCTTAGCTAGCATGTCCAAGGTCCTGGGTCTGATCCCTAGCCACATACCAAAAAAAAAGGCTGAGAATGACAAAAGTATCTTGTTTAGGACTCATGTCTTAAGTAAACCTAATGTTTAAATAATCTTATCTCATGACAGTGACCTTCAAACGTTAGCTGTGTCTCACAATAAGCAGTTCACTTTACATCATAACTCCGTGCTCACACCAAGTGCACATCCCCTCACACAGGCTGATGAGGACTCTAACATGGCACTTTCTGATCTTTACTGTTTCATTAGCTAGCAGGGCTGGTCAGAACCGCAACGCTGTGTGCTGGCAGTGAACTTAATCCACTGAGGCACATTTATATATTTATCTCAGAATTTTAAGAAAGACTAAGAAGGGAATAAATCTTTCCATGCAAGAGTCCACCTTTCCAGGGGCTCTTTTAAAATGGCACATTCCCAGACTTCACACTAGGAGTTAGTTTGCACAAGTTAACTAACCACTTAGTTTATCAGGATCGCACTTACTATGCAAAACAGGTATCCTGCATTTGCTGTAGCTGGGGAATCTGACCTGGAGAGCTTTACTGTATTGCCCTGGGGTTTTTAAGCCAGGCAGGAACTACTCCACAATTACCCACAAGGCCAAGTCTAGCTACTGGGGAAGAAAACATGTATGAACTTGAACAGGGAATCCTTTCCATTGCTGAGTTAGCACAGTTTGTCTGGAACAGCCAAAAATCAAGCAGATCAACTGACTTGATGTTTTTTAGCTCTAAGGTGGGGATTAGGGAAAATGGAACTTGAAGGGAAGCATGGGGAACTTGGGATGCGCCTGTTGCAGCTGCAGTTCTGATACAGCAACCATATGCAGAGAGCAGTAAACAGCAGAGTGTGTTGAGATGCACACATTCCCATGAAGGAGTGCCAGAGGGGAGGGAGGACTTGGCACCTGGAGGAGAAAGTTCTAATGGCAGCAAGCTTGCACTGCAGGACTGAGTCAGTGGTGGGCATTCCCATGGTTCTGCAGTTTGTGTAAGTAGGGGAGTGGAGTGGAGCACCACTGGCGGTCTTGGAGGGGTGAGTTATGAGAGAGAGGGACGGGCTCAAGGCTGGGCTAGGTTGGGCTTGTAGGTTCTTAGGAAATATATGCTTAGGCTGAGGGCCAGGGCCAAGTTGACTCTTCAAGAGGCCTTGAAAGCTAGCTAACTGAGTAGTGTGGCTTGCGTAACTATGTTTTTTTCATTTGTGTTTTGGCTTTTCTTTTCTTTTTTTTTTTTTAATGGTGCTGGGGTTTGAACCCAAGGCTTCACACTTGCTAAGCAAGCACTCCTACCATTTAAGCCACTCTGCCAGCGACTTGCCTAACTAATGTGGGACCAGGATCCCCTGAATGTGAGTCTCCAGAGGCAGATTAACTTTTGAGACAAGCCGGCTGTGAATGCACATCTGTGCCCATCTGGAGAAGCTTTGGGCCTCTGGTGTCAAAGAAGGCTGATGAGGGGAAAGCAGAATGGACAGGGTAAATCTCAGAAGAGAGAGAGGCCTGTTGAAGGGACAATCACGCTGTTTCTGTGCTTGTCCTCAGGCTGCAAGAATAAGTGGACTGTTGCAGAGTCAGCAACCTCTATAGCCAGTGTGACCTACACACCAGGTCCTCAGGGTTCAGGGAGTGGTGCCAGCATTGGAGGGAACCCTAGATTCTCTGGAGCAGGGCTGGGCCTGATATGGGCCCCAAAACTTGATTCGGGATAAGGGGTGACAAGATTATGACTCTGTGGGTAGTTCCTTCCCCATTTGCTCCAGGCCTTCTGCTTGTCAGTTGAACTTGAACTTTTGGTCCTGGGTGGACCACTTCCAAAAGGAGATTTAATTCCTTAGGGTGTTACCAGTGATTTAAGTGGTCACTACTGGCTGCAAAGGAACTCACTCTATAAATGTGTTCAGACACTGCCTGGTGTTTCCCTTCAAAATGTTTGTGCAGTGCGCACTCCCATTTTCCTACATGCTCACCAACATGGGATAGTATCTTTTTTTTTTTTTAACCAATGTGATACCTGGAAAGAACATACTTTAAAATTTACCTTTTCTTTTTGGCAGTACTAGGGTTTGAACTCAGGGCCTCACGCTTGCTAGGCAGGTCTTGAGCTGCTCCACCAGCCCTTTTTGTGTTGGATGTTTTCAAGATAGGGTCTCAGGAACTTGTTTGCCTGGACTGGCTTCAAACCACTATCTCCTGATCGCTGCCTCCTGAGTAGCTAGGGTTACAGACATGAGCCACCAACGCCCAGCTGTAAAGTTTACATTTTCTCGTGATTCTAAGTGTTGAAGAGTGTTTATAAATTGGTAACCACTTTGTAGTTCTGTGTACTACCCACCTATGTCTTTAACTGTACTTTATTGGCTTCCTTGCCCTTTAAAAAAGTTGATTTGTAGAAAGGCAGTCATTTTTGGTGATGAATCCTTGTACTATTGTATGATGCAAGGAAGTATCTCCCCATATTAAGATAGCTACTCGCAGGGGGAAGCATGGTGAAGCACTCCTGTAATCCCAGCTACGTGTGAAATGGGGATGAAAGGTTTACAGTTCAAGGCCAGCTCAAGGCCAAAAAGTTGGCAAAACACGTATCTCAAAAAAAAAAAAAGTGGGTGTGGTGGTACACATCTGTAATCCCAGCCATGCAGGAAGCAGAGGTAGGATCACAGTATCAGATCGTATCTGAAAAATAAACTAAAGTAAAAAGGTCTAGAGCTCAAGTGGTAGACTGACTGCCTAGCAAGCACAAGACCTGAGTTCAAATGTCAGTACCATGAAAAAAACACCAACACTTGATCTCACACAATCTCTTTCCATACAGGTTTAAATGTGAACTTGTCGGTATTTTCTTCCTGTAGTTTCTGATATTTATGCCTTGCTTATAAGAAGCTTTCTCATCCCTCAATTATAAAAACTATCTCATATCTTTTCTTTTAATGCTTTATTTGTAAAATTCTTTAAGTCATCTAGAGCTTTCAAAATTGGAACTGGGATAACAATCTAAATATTTTTCTACTGAATTTTCCTAACACTTATTTCTCATTTAGTCCTTCCTTTCCCCATCAGCTTAAGAGCTTGTTTGGAGGTCCTACCAGGGGAGCACAGCTACTTGTGTACCCTTGACCAAAGAACAGTCTTCCTCTGTCTGGGATGGAGCAGTAAGGAATGGGGCACCCATCTAGCTGGCCAGATCAGCCAAATCAACCCTGGCAATCAATGGGGTGACATGTCGCAGCCAAATCACCCTTACATCCTCCCCATCAGCTTGAATTCTACCTTCATTTTCCAAATTCCCCCATCTATGGATCTGTCTTTTTGTTTTGATTTTGAGACAGGATCTCCCCAGCACTAACCATGGGTCTGTTTGTTTAGTATTTGTTTGGTTCTGCTGATTGATTTGTTGAATCTGAACATGTTTCTCTTTACTCTCTTCCAAATTGTTCTCCCTTTGGAAAAAATTCTTGAAAACCTCTGAGCACTCTTCCAGGTGCATCTTCTGCCTCCTTATTCCAGCCAAGGGAAGGGATTTCTTAGGTGGATTTTTAGGCACATAATGCCTTCAGTTTGGGAAAGGGAGCAGGCATGAGGATAGATTCCCTTGGGTCTCCCAAATCACTAAATTCGTTTATTTGGTGGAAGTGTTAGTTAGCAATATGGTAACAGACAGTCAACTTGCTTTTGGAGTTTGTAGCTGTTTCTGTTCACTTCCCCACTCACACACTTCCCGGGCTGGCTGCCTGACTGGCTGGCTAGAGGAGCTGACCCAATGATCCAAGGCTGTTTTTGGTGACCCTAGAGATACAGTGAAGGAGCCATGTGATTTCTGGCACTGTCTATTGTTTCATGTGTCTCTATTCTACCCGAGCCACACCTCCAGTCCTTTCTGCTCTGGCTATTTTGGAGACAGGGTCTCACTTTGTGCTCAAGCGGGCCTTGACCTCTATCCTTCTATTTTACACATGTGCCCCCTCACCCAGCTTTTTCCATTAAGATGGGTCTTGCAAACATTTTTGCCCAGACTAGCCTGGAACCAAGATCCTCCCAATCTCAACCTCCCGTGTAGCTTGGTGGTAGGCACCCACCATTGTGCCCAGCTATTGGTTGAGATGGGATCTCATGAACTTTTTGCTCTGGTTGGCCTCGAATAGTAATCCTCCTGATCTCAGCCTCCCAGATAGCTAGAATACAAGCATGAGGTGAGCCACTGGCACCCAGCTTCAGGTGTCCTTAAATGCTGCCTTTGGGAGGTAGTTGAAAACTTGGACTTCAGACCTCAGAAGACTTGGGCTTGATCTCAGCTTCTGCCATAGCCTAGTTGTGTGACTTCAACTAGTTTACCTGTTTGTAATGTAGGGATCATTGTTTTTTAGGATTGTGAAGTTTGGAGCCTGACGTAAAGTACTTGCTCAAAAAGTGATTGCTATCACTGCAAATCCCTCTGAGGGATTTTACAGCTTGGTTTCTGCATCTGCCTGGCCATGGCCTTGACTCTGACCTTATTATTTTGACATCTTGACATTTCCATCAGCTCTTCCTCAGTTATAGTCTCTCAGCGTTTGCCAGTGGCATTGACTTTCCAGTTCTTGGGGCTGGTCTTTGATCTGTAAGAATGACGTTGGGCAGGTTACCTCTCAGAGCCTCTGCTTTCCCTGGAAAATTAGGATAATAATTTATGCTCCTTCCTGGAATTATAAGGAGAATAATGCAAAGCACCAGTATAAGGCCTGGCACACAGCGGGTGCTTAATAAACAGTTTCTGTGTGCAGTACCAAGATTGGCACTGTGGAGATTCAGAATACAGTTGCAGAAAGTGTCTGAATTACAAAATCCTTGCTTCAGAATGTAAAATACAGCCGAGGAGGCCAGACTGCAAGTGAAGGAGGGAAAACTAAATACAAAACATGGGTGATCAGAACAAAAACGAGGGAGTGGAGAAGCAGTCATCTGGTTCAGTTGGTTAGCAAAGGTTTGTGGAAGAGAGCTTATTATGCCTTGAAAAGTCAGTAGTGTGGTCAGGCTGGGAGTGCTTTTCCTGGGAGCCAGTGCAGGCCTGGCAGCAGTGTCCCTTTCTGTTCATGGTATATATGTTACTGACAACTTCAGGGCCTGAACTGTTTCTTATTTATTTTAACTTGGTCTAGCTTAGTGCCAGATATATATCAGGGACCCAGTAAATGAAAGAAATGATCAGGGAGGAGGCGGGGAATGGACAGTAGGCTGTCTTAGTGGGACTTGGGTTTCTCATCTGCAAAATAGGGCTTGGGCCAGACCTCACTTTCTTGTAATCTCCCACTTTGTGGTTTTGTTTGAGAACCACGCACATAAAAGGGCTTGAAGTGTCTTGCACGCAGCCTGCAGGAAGCTCTCTGCCAACAGGCACAGCCCCAGCCAGTGAGGACACAGGAAATTTAAACAACTCCAAAGAAATAATCCTGCAGCTGCTCTTGATCAATCCTTCCCATCTTTAAAAGACTCCAGACTTAAAGATTCCGTGCTGTAGGATAAACTTCATCCTTTTCTCTCCCTAGAGGGGATAAAGAACTCTACGTCCTCTCTACCTTTATTTGTGCCTAGACTCCAGACTTGTGCGCAGTAATTAATGCAGTGTGGGCCTCACACTAGGAGCCAGACTTTTTTTTTTTTTGGCCGTACCAGGGTTTGAACTCAGGGCTTCGCACTTACTAGGCTACCACTTGAGTCATGCCCTCAGCCATTTTTGCTTTAACTTTTCAGATAGGGTTTTGCACTTTCACCCAGACTGACCTAGGACAGTGATCCTCCTATCTCCTCCTCCTGAGTATCTGGGGTTATAAGTGTGGCTATCACTCCTGGCAGAGCAACCACATTCTCAGGGCCTTTCTCCATCTCCAGGATCCATGTGATAAGGAGGAAAGGGAAGTTTTCAGTTCCAGCTGAAAGCTCCACTGGGGAAAATGCATCTGAAGAGTCATTACTTCAACCCTATTACATTACAGATAGAGGTGAGGGGTAAGGAATAAAGTGACTTGCCTAGGCAACCTACCCTTTACTGATAGACTTGGGACTAGAACCCAGGCCTCCTGATTCCTCCTGGCTTAGTCCTTTGTTATTGTTGGGGGTGTTTGGTTTATTTATTGTTTGTTTGTTTTGAGACAGGGGCTGGCCTCTGTATTGTGATCTTCCTGCCTTAGCCGCTCAAGTGCTGGGATTACAGGTGTGCACCATCGCCCCTGTCTGCTGGTACTTTTATAAGGGCACCTGTGCACCTTTACCAATCTGGGCCCACCATTTGTAACAGAGTGTGGATTGCTCACTGACTCTGTCTCTTGGGGATTCTCATTCAGTAGTTGGGCGGACAGCATCCTTGTTCTGGGAAGATAACACATGATGACACGTGAGCCTAAGGAACATTGTTTTGTGGGTCCAACTTGGCCCAAGTGTAGTGGCTGTGGTGCATTTAGGGTCTTAATTTTCACATGCCTATTTTTCGCCTTAATATTGCCTGGGTGTCTGAAAAACTGCAGATGAATTTGCTTGCTCTCCTGGCTTTCCCCTCCCCTCTTATTTTGGTCTCTTGTTTTAGGAAATGTTTTTCTTTCAACAGTTTTGTCTTTTATTCGCTTCATTCAGCCAACCAGCATTTACTGGGTACCTTCTGTGTGTTGGGCACAGAGGCTTTCAAAGTGGAATTAGATTTCACCTCTGCCCTTCCATGGCTCAGTGTCCAGTGGAGGAAGTGACTTTCATTGAGTAGCACCAGGTGCTGAACCTCTCCACCTCATTTCCTCCACACACTTGGCTGAAGCTGAGAATCATTCACTGTTGGGAAGAGATGCAGAAAGGACTGGCAATGTGGCTGTAGTGGTAAGAGAGTCTGCCTAGCAAGTGTGAGGCCCTGGGTTCAAATCCCAGTGCCGCCAAAAGAGAGAGAAAGAGAGAGATGCACTTGTATTTGAATCCAGGCTAGGCTGATGGTGGAGCTTTCCACATGTGTATACAAAAGGCATTGCTTTTTTTTCTTTGACTGTATCCAAAGTTGGCCTGCAATTTGGAACTCCTACTCCGAGCAAAGCAGTGTATGGAGTGCTCCTGACTTCTGCAGTATCTGGACACACTGGGGTTTCATCCAGGATGGCTGACTTCTGTCTGGTTCTGGGCCCTTCCTGGGCTACAGGTATTCTCTAGAGACAAGCCAGGTGCCCAGAGAGTGGGCCAGTGCTGTCACTGTTGAATGTGATGGGTGCCTTAGAGCACCCATCTCAACTCTAGACAAAATTGGCTTGAGTCCTAGTCCACCTGTCCCTGCAGTATGCAGAGACCATACTAGAGCTGTCCATGTATGAGTGGGCAGTCCCCACTCACTTCCTATGGTTCTGGGGACACTCCTCTCACTCAGAAGCATGCCAAAGTCTTTAGGAGGTTTCAAAGGATGACTGTGTAGACTCAGGTGTTTCTTCTGCACAGGACTGTGAGGGCCTTATCGTCCGATCAGCCACCAAGGTCACTGCTGATGTCATCAATGCAGCTGAGAAGCTCCAGGTGGTGGGCAGAGCTGGCACAGGTGTAGACAACGTGGATCTGGAGGCTGCCACAAGGAAAGGCATACTGGTCATGAAGTAAGTCATGGAGGCTGAGGATGGGTGTGGAGACTGACAGAAAAATGAGTTTAGAGAAATCTGAGGTGGATGGAGTCAGAGAGCTTTCAGAGAGCTTCCAGAGGATGTCTGGTTGGGCCCTGAGTCTCTATAGATAGTCAACACTTATGACTTCATAGTTTCAGGGCTGTGGGATAGAAGCTGTCTGTAATCTCAGTGTTTCAGAGCTCAATCTTTATTGTGCACTCATTGGCAGGGGATCAGGACAGCAGTCAGTTTATCTGCCTTCTTGGCTCCAGCTCTGCCCTCCCCTCTGTTGTTCTGTTTGTGAGAGTTTTTGTTAGCTCTCTAGCTCTGTGTTACTTGACTTTGTCCAAATCCACAAACTCTTCCTAGTCAGGTGACTCCATGTCCTCTTCCTCACTTCCCTGCACCTTTTTTGAAGCTAAGACCCCAACTTCTGGCTCAGCATTCCAGGCCCAGCAGGAGAAGGGGCTCCTTTACAGTTGTTTTTGTAGAAACCCAGGGGTAAAGTTCATTGTGAGCATGCTCGTGTGTCACTACACTTCTTTGGGTACTTAGATGATACTTGGATGGTGTACAAAGCCTACCCTAGCCCTCTTGTCTGATCCCAAACCCTTTTTCTGCCCTCGGGGACCTCATTGTCCTTAAGCCCTTTCCCCTCCCCTGCCTCTGCCTCCCTCTGGGGGTACGGGGATTAATTGAACTGACCACAGACAGAGGTCAATATCCCATGGTAGAGATGTTAAAGAATAACTCATCTTACACTCTTGTCCTGGACTCAGGGGCAGCCAGCCTCAGCCTCATCTCTGTACACTACGGCCTGTAGTCTATTTGCTGGGGAGGATGGGAAGTCAGGTAGTAGAGGGACTCTGGGAACCTTTTGTTTTTCATAGGATCTCTTGACTTTTCCTCCTTGTAATCGTCATTTCCAGAAATGAGGAGACCCAGTAGGGAGAGAAGGAGGGTGAACATGTGTGCTAAATTCTTTCAAAACATAAAAAGCCTTTGAGAAAAGAAAAGTTCTCTCTATTGTCACCTTGCTTTTTCTTCCTGTGATGAAGGAGGCCTTGTCAGATGAGAAATGTTCATGAAAGGGAGGAATTATTAGATCGGGTGGCTGGATGTTCAGTCTACCTCTGAATTCAGTAGACTTGCTCAACCTCAGTAGTACCCATGGCTTTGAATTTTTGTAGGCAGGTAGGTCCTGAAAAGAGAGAGAGAGAGAGAGAGAGAGCTAGGCAGAGCCAAGCACACCTCTCCCCCACAGTGTGAGCCACTTTTCCTCTGCCTTGGGAGAAGCGGGGCCAGGTGGGCTCCTCTGACAGAGGCCCCTTTGCATAGGAACAGAAGGCAAGGGCCAGGCGGTTCCTTCTAGCCCTGGGCTTAGCGCAGGAGTGTGTCAGAGAATCCAGGATGGGGGTCTGGGATTGGGACAGTGAAATACTAGGTCTGGGCCCACTGATGACTGATGTCCCCTCTTCTCTTTGGCCGTTAGCACCCCCAATGGGAACAGCCTCAGTGCTGCGGAGCTCACGTGTGGTATGATCATGTGCTTGGCCAGGTAAGTCCCTGTGTTCCCATCAGAGCCCTCTGGTGTGTCAGTTACTACAGCTTGCCAAGCAAACTGACCCACAGGAATACAGAAACCTTTCAGCTGGGCGATCTGCAGATTGCCAAGAACCCTGAAGACCTCAGTCCTGTCTTAGCATGCATTCCAGCAGTTCTGAGCACAAAGAGCTTACATGGCTTCTCAGGTCCCTTGTGAGTGCACGTGGGGAGCAGAGGAGACAGAGCTGTTGCTCATTACCTAGAGTCACACTCATGCAGAGACCTGGATGACCTTCTTTCTCTCTCTTTTACTCATTTACCCCGCTGCGCGTGCATGTGCTCTGCTTTCTCCAGCCTCCAGCCCTTGCACTTGCTCTCTGTACCGTGGAGCATCCTTCTCCACCATCTTTGTCTAGGTACCTCTGCTTGTTTTTTAAGCATTTAAGCTCCAGATTTTCAGATTTAGCTCAAGTGTCAGTTCATTCAAGAAGCTCTCTGGTTTCCACAGCTAGGTCATGTCCTCTGCTGATCCCCTGGGGCTTACCTGTCACAGTCCTTATAAATCTGATGGAAAAAACACCTGCACCTTATCCCTGTGCCTACCTGTGGATTGCTAACACAGATGGTTTTAGCAGGGGCTAGTGGGGTGAGTCTCTTTAGTAGAGGGGACAGTGTAGTGGCACATAACTGTGTGTAAGTTCTAATGTGTCTGGTAGTTATTTGGCAAAAATGATGTACTTTAACAGACATTTCCTGCATTTTTGTGATCATCACGAAGACTAAAACCTCCCCATAAACAGGGCAGGAAGCTGCTTTAGATCTCTTTTGAAGATCCTTGGATTCTTAAGCCAGGCACCCAGGACTAATTATACTGAGGCCTGAAACCTGCTGGGACCAAAAAGTTACCCTTTTCCCTTCTCAAGAACTGTTGGGGAGGATCTGGGGAGTTAACCTTTGCTTCAACCCCTCCCCAGTACTGCCCAGGGCCTCAGAAGGAAGGATAGGGAAAGGGAAGATCAGTTTATACAGTAGAAAAGGCTCAGTCTAGAAGGGTCCCTGAGCTGGCCTCAAGCACCTGGGCCCATCCACTTAAGAAGTGTAGAAGGCTGGTCTCAAGGTTTCACATGCATTGTTAAATTCAGCCATTGACTGATTGACTGGAGTAAGGGAGGGATCGCATACCATCTTTCCATCTAGGCTTTTCTAAGGTAGAATAATTTCCCTCCAGTTCCAGGACCAGCTTTATTTAAAGGACTAGGCAAAGTGCTGTGGTTTGAAGGAAGCTCTCCCCCCTCCCCCAACACCCATCCATGACTACCCTCATCAGTAGTTCCCTATCAGCAAAGAGCTGCCTGACTCTCATAACTCACTGCCTGTCAGTCCCAGCAGACTGTTTCCTGTCAGGTGACTCTGGTGAGCTATTCAGCCCCAGGGCCTCCCTCCGCTGGATTGTGAGCTTCCGATGAGCTAATGTGTGCCTGGACATTTCTTACAGAGTCTAAAGCAGAACAGGTACACCCCATTCATCGTTTGTTATCTCCCTCCAGAGATGGCCCATAAAATATATATTACCCTTTGATCTCTAACCTCACCCTAATTGTCACTGCCTCTGTGGCCTTCAGAAAACACATGGAAGCTCAGACCTTCCTATGAACCAGTAGGAGAAGATAGGCTGTGGTGTGTGCATGGGTGAAGAGTGTGGTGGTGGGACAGGAAGGGGGTGTAGATGTTGGAACTGTTGGAATCAGGCATTCAGGACAGAGTGGGAGGGTCTGCACTCACCTTGGCTATCCTGAGACCTTTGTGACTTAAGAAACTCTCAAGAAAGAATAAGTAATCAGGTGTCCCCTTGATAGCAACAGAAGACATCATGGGTTCAGGTCCTGATGGGGCAGGAAGGAGAAGAACACACCAATACCCCATTATATTTATCTGCATAAACCCTCAAGAACTAGCTATCACTTAATGGAGAAACTCAGGCAAAGTCACTCACTGATACCTTGGTGGATGAGGTAGATCAGAATGTCCTCCCATCTTCCTGGCTGGAGACTGAAGTCCCACTGTTTCCAAGTCAGGTTTTGCCAGCAGTGTCTCTGTCCTCAGACCCACTCTGAGCTTAGTTCCCAGGGGAGTGATCGTATGGGTGATGGCTGTGCAGCCCTGTCATCAGCCCTTCTTCCTAAGCTGGTGGGGGGCTGGGTGGATCTGCTGAATCTGTTTCTGTCCTTGCAGGCAGATTCCCCAGGCAACGGCTTCAATGAAGGGTGGTAAATGGGAACGGAAGAAGGTGAGCAGTGGCCTTGCCCCACCCATTGGGCTCAGTGTCCCAGCTCCGCTCTTGGTGCTAACTTAGCCTTTTGTCTGTCTGGTTGCAGTTCATGGGAACAGAGCTGAATGGAAAGACCCTGGGCATTCTTGGCCTGGGCAGGATTGGGAGAGAGGTGGCCACCAGGATGCAGTCCTTTGGCATGAAGGTAAGAGGTGGCTGGATTCCTTGGACGTGTGGCTTTCTGGAGCAATGTTGGAAGAGGCAGCTTGGCTTGAGAGAAGCCCTGGCTTTGTCCTAGATGGGTCATTAGAGCTTCTGTTAAAGCCAGGGAGGGAGAGTGAGTTGGCCTCTTTCTTGGGACATTTTAACTCCAAAGCTAGGAATACTTGATGGAAGTTTTTTAGCTCTCGGACTTGTCAATAACTCTGAGTCCCAGTGAACAGAGAGGTTCTTGTATCCTTTCCTGTCTTGCTACAAGGGCCTCATGGCTTGACTCTGTCTGCTCTCCTCTGATGGTTTAGGAAGCAGTAGCAAATTTACAACCTTACAATAGGTTGGCCTTCCTGCTTGCCTCCATATCCCAGGATGATTTAATGGTGCTTTTTTTGCACACTCTGATAATGCCTATAGGGCCCATGGTGGTGGGAAGACCTCACACCTGTCTCAGAAATCATGCCATACCCTTTCTTGGCCTACTCTGGGGACTCAGAAGTCTCTGGCTGAAGGAGGACTGTGATCAGTGGCGTTGCCCCTCCTACAGGCCAATCCAGGAGACTTGTACACAGGGCAGGCCAGTCAGCTGAGAGAGGGGGGGTCTCAGGGCTGCCCAGACGAGCCAGAAAGATGTAAACAGCTTATAGTGCTAGTGGCTTTCGCCACAGTCACTGACAGTTGAGGGAATTGCAGGGATTGTGGATCACACTGAAGCTAGGAAGCCTTTAGTTAAACACTAAGAAAAATTGTTTTGACAATAATCACATCATCCCAGGTCTAGAAAGTTTTACATAGAACTGCTACAGAGTTTTTCCTCTTTCTCTCCCTTGCTCTTTCCCTTATCTCCATCCCTCCTAATGTAGAGTTAAAAGGGATGTTATAGATGAGCCCTCAGTTTTATATTGGCGCCCAGAATTTGTAAGTTTATGCCTAAGGGCACAGAGCAAATCGAGAGTAGCCTAGACCCCAGATGGGCATCCCATTGTCCCTCCTCATCATCTCCCTTCTGCCCCCACTCCTCACCATATTTATTTAAGCTAGACATTTTTCCTAAGGCTCAGCACTAAGAAAGACAGGTATATTTTATAGATCTCTGAAAGAGGTGGACATGTCCCACTGAACCCACTGATCATGAAAACTGCAGCCTGTCCTCTGCAGAGGTGGAGAGATGCCACAAGTTACTAGGAACACTTTTTTTCCTTCCTCTTTTGTGAGAACCAAGGTCAAGGTTTATCCCATGGATAATTCTAATCCTCTAAAAGCAGAGGTCAGCATTTAAACAACACTAAAAGTACATGAAACCATCTCTTTTAACAGTGTCTTCGTGACCAGTGGTGTGATGAATCTGACTTGAGAGCAGAGGCATGGATGTTGAGCATGGGGCACTGGTTGTCACTGATCCTCCAGGTTCAGCCACTGTATCCCGAAGTCTGTTTGTGTTACTCACAAACTCACATTACTCACAGTAATGTCCCACACTTACAGATAGGGACACTGAGGCCCTGCAAGGTCATATATAAGCTCAAGACAGCATGACTCTGTTCCTTCTGGTGTCCCAACTTCTAACCTGGTGCTGTTTGCCCAGTACCACCACTGTCTTCACTCACAATCCACATTAAACAGTTCTGGTGCCATGTCACTATGCTGCCATTCTCTGTATAGACACTGTCCAGGACAGGCAGCTCTTACCTCAGCCTGGCTCCTAGAATTCTTAACTGCCTTATGGTGGTGATTTTGAAACTTCTCAGAGCCTTAGGTTCTAGACAGGTGCCTTAGGGACACAGATAGGAGTGGTGAGGGGGCCCAGGGAGATAGAAGGTCATAGACTTTGGGTCTTTGCCTCTCAGTTTGAACTGATTAGGTTTTTTGTTTTATACTTGCATTTAAGATTCCATTGCAGTGGTAGGAAGAGTTCCATCACTTAGCTAAAAACCTGGACTGTCAGGTGGGGAGGCATGTGACCATCCCAGCTGTTCTTGGGGGCCCCCATCCTCTGCTGAACCAGCAGAGCCCTGGAGCTAGACAATAAGCCTTCCAGGGCTGCCTTCTGTGACACCAGTGAGGGGAAACCCAGCTTCATATTTGGGCCCCAACATCCAAAGTCTGGGCTGGGGTTGAGTGGATGAATCTTTTTTCTTGCTTCTTCCCAAGGTTCCTTTCTACAAATAGACTGAAAGGTATGGGTGTGGAGGTGCTCCAACTCCTGTACAATTTACATGCCCTTTCCAGAACATGTCAGATCCTGAGCAGGCATGTGGCTTCTGGGCCTAATGTCATTCTTTCAACTATCCACAGTGTGATCTGCTGGTGTGGGAACCCTAAGCCCTAGCTGAGCTCAGCTCCTTTCTGTCCTGTTTATCTCAAGTTGAGTATAAGAGCAAGAATTTTCTCAGCCAAGTTCATTCCTGGCAGTTGCCTGCAGATAAATCAGATACTATCTCTGTGACAGAGAAGCTGAGTCAGTGCCCCACCAATCACTGGGGAAGATTCTTATCTCCTCCTAGCTACCCTCCTCTACCCCAGGCACCTGCTGGCATACCGGGGCACTGCGCCAAGTGAGGGCTGTGGTGTCCTTCCTTCTGCCAGCCCTGGGCTGGGTGTTGGCCCACCAAAGCACAGCAGGGTATAGGGAGCTGTGTGCTTATCAGTCATGCATGGCTTTGTGACCTCTGTTGCTGTCCTTTTCCTCTACCTGCTTCATGTGAAAAGAAACTACATCTGGATTAGACATGAACGGGGCCATTGTCTTACTGGCATCAGCACCAGCAGACAAAGAAGACTTGTCAGGACAGGACAGAGGTCCTATCCCTTCCCCTGAACATTTCCTTCTCACCAGAACCAGGTTGGTTCCATTTCAGGGGAATAACAGCATCTGAGCCACCCACAACCCCTACCCCTGAGGCTTTATGCTCCTCATAGAGCCGAGGGCAGCAGCATCTTTTCCCTAAACCTCCACTGATGGTTGGGATGGGGCTGTTTGGCTTTGCTTGTTCACAAGGATATTGATGAAAAGAATGGGATTTAAAAGCTTTATCTTATTCTTAACCATTTTTATCTTCTTCCCCAGAAGTTCTGTATTGGAAATGGAAGTCCTTATTTCCATCATATTCTAAAAGAACTTTTGAAGTCCCCTAGTTGCTAAAGTAACTCACAAACAGCAGAGTAGAGCATTTAAAAAGCACAGGGAAGGAAAACCCTAATTTTGCTCCCCAGAGGCATGCACTGTTTGAGTGTCCTGCTGTACTTCCTTTCTGTGTGTTTTTGTTTAATCCTGGGTCAACTCTGGACATTCCCTCACGATTAAGGGAAATTTCTCTTCAAGTAACTTTGGATTATTGAACGTTAGTGCAAGGGATAACTGAGGTCACCCATCCAGCTCTCGTGTAGGGGCGAAGACCTAGGACCAGAGGGACCTGAACTGTGCAGTGACACATGGTTGGCAGCAGCTGAGGCAGGACTCCAGTTTCCCGTGTCCTTGGGTGCTACAGGCCTAGCCAGCTGTGGACTGCCCCACCTGCCTGAGGACATCAATTCCTTTGTGATTTTCCTGGCTCCTCTGCCTCTTTCTCCGTTGGTCCTGCTGATAAAGCTGTAGCTCCAAGAGAGGCCTGGGTAGACTAGGCAGAAAGTGGATGGGTCCTGTCCTGGCTGTTGTGAGAAGCAGACCTTTGATGCCTGGCTGCTGTGCTGGTTTGCTAACTTTGAAAGCTGGCCCTTGCTGGGTCTTGCGTGACAGGTACCGAGACTGTTCTCTGACATAGGAGACATGGATATCTAGCTCCATTTGGCTTTCTCAAACAGGGCTGTTGTGGCCTCCCCATTCTACCTCTAATGGCTGAAAGTCAGGGAGAGTGGTATGTCCCTGTGCTGACTGTGACAGTGCTGCCCTCCTGTGATACTCACTGTGCCCCTGCCACTGCATGCTCCCCCTGGGACAGAGTTCCCCATGCTGACCTGTGACCTCTGCACTTGACCTGCTTCTTTTCAACTTCCAGGTACTCTGGAGGGTGAATGCTAGGAGGGCAGGCTCTGGTATCTGAATACCTGGCTTATATTCAGTGCCAGTTATGTGACCTCTGCCTCAGTTTCTCCCCTGTAAAATGGGGAAATAATAGTATACTTAAGTATGAGTAAAATAAAAAGCATCCAAAAGCTGGATATGGTATCATACACCTATAATTCTGATACTCAGGAGGCTGTGGTGGAGGATCACAAGTTCAAACTCAGCCTGGGCTACATAACAAACCCTGTCTCAAAAAAGCAAAGACACAAACACAAAAAGCTCCTGACATAGTAATGCTAAGTAAACATTTGCTTTTATTAGCTATGAGTACCTGTTCTTCCTCCTGTCTGAGGGTCACTCTTTGGGTTGCTGTTATCTGATGACCTTATACCAATTTCATGAGGCTTAGGTAGTTGACACCAGCTCCCTGCCTGCCCCCACCTCCTAGGAGTCAACCTTCCTTTCTTCTCAGTGGCCCCAGGGAGGATCCCTGCTTGGAGCCTTGCTTCCTCCCAGACCAGCCTCTACCAAGGCTCTCTTGGGAGAGAGCCTTCCATATTCCTCATTTCTGGTGCCATTTGTGTCTCACTTCTCCCTGGATGTTCTTGATCCCACCATGGTGAAGCCTGCCCTGTTAAAAGGATTTACTACAAGTTATGGTAAGTTATGCAGTAAATCCAGGTTATTCCAAGACTAGATGCATTTTAAGCCTTACCAGAAAAAATTTCAAAGAGGGACTGTATTCTCCGTGATGGCTATGTCAGCCTTGGTATTTTGCCCTCATCCATGACACACCTTGGTCTCAGTCTTGTCCTGATCCTGCCTCACCAGTGCCCTCATCCCTCACTTCTTGTCATTCTGCCTAAATGCTTAGTGCACCTGACTATTTCCTGTACCCAAGGGCCCTATGTCGCAGCTGCTCTCTTTCCTCCATTTCCTGGCAGCACCCAATAATGACGTCATTGTACCCAACGTGATCATCCTCCTTCAATGAGGGCTTTTATCTCAGGGCCCCTACTCCACCTTTTGTCCAGTCACACATGAGAAGCTGTCGCATTTGCTTGGGGTCACAGCTTGGAGGTAGACAAGCCTCCCTTTGCTTTGACTGTGCCGTGTGCACCCTCTTGTTTGCGCAAGCCCTGTTTCCCTCTACTCTAAAGCAGGCAGAAGAATAGCACAAGCTCATTATATTGTCATGAGAGTTAATTGGAGGTTTTATAATAGTTAATTATAATCCTTCTTTCCTCTCTCTCACTTCTGGTCAGACTGTAGGGTATGACCCCATCATTTCTCCAGAAGTCTCAGCCTCTTTTGGTGTTCAGCAACTGCCCCTGGAAGAGATCTGGCCTCTCTGCGATTTCATCACTGTGCACACGCCTCTCCTGCCCTCCACAACAGGTAGTATGTCTGTACTTTGCTGGTTGGCCATAAAGGGCCACAGACCACATAAAGAGTGGGCCTTCAACAGATGCTGATGAGCAGGTGTGGAGAGGGGCACACACAGGACCTGCATAGCATGGTCTGCATCAGGAAGGAAGGCTAGTTAGAAATGTGCAAATGTCTGCATAAGCTGAGTGCATGTGCAGCCAGTGGCCCAAGTGGATGCCACCTAGGGCCCTGCAAGGATTTCTGATTTTTGAACCCACTTAGCACTCATGTCTCAATAACTCCTCTAAGATGTTTACAAACTGAATCTAGCCTAGATCCAGACTATCCCTGTCCCAGAGCATCTGAAAAGGAAGAGGCATGAACAAAGGCAGCTGTCCTGCAGGAAGAGGCCCCCTGGGGAAACGGCCGCCCCCTGGGAGCCAGTGCCGCCAAGGAATTGAGGTACCATCACAAAGGTGACATGTTCGCCCTTCCCTTTCTTCCAGGCTTGCTGAACGACAGCACCTTCGCCCAGTGCAAAAAGGGCGTGCGTGTGGTGAACTGTGCTCGTGGAGGGATTGTGGACGAAGGTGCCCTGCTCCGGGCCCTGCAGTCGGGTCAGTGTGCAGGAGCGGCACTGGATGTGTTTACAGAAGTAAGTGCTTGCGGCCTCAATGTTGGGGAAGGGAGAGGTGAGAAACAGATGCCCAAAGCAGGAGAGGAGAGCCCAGCATTTTGCAGGAGTGCAACTTACATGTCTGGCATCAGTGGTAAACAGGTAAACCATGCTGCCATGAATTTGCCTACGTGGCTTGAGAACCCTTGCAGAGCTTGGCAAGGAGAAGCTGCATTGTCTTCTGCAAACCTTGGGTTTTATGTAGGTCCCAAGTCCCCTGGGCTTGGGCTCCCCAGACTGCTGTTCTAGAGAAGACAGTTCTTTGGAGCAGACAGTGAGGTTGAAGATTTGAGGTGGGAAGAGAGAATTTGAGTATATTGTCATAGGTCTGTGATTTCAGTGCAGTCTGGAGGTCAAGAAGATGGTACACTCAGTGTCTGGCGGTATTTCTCTTCCCAGGGAGGGACAGAAGACCAAGGACAGTGGCAGCCTTCCTCAGGATTCCTGGGATGAGTATTCTCCCAGCTGGAGCAGAGGCTCAGCTGCATAGCAGATAGGATACAGGGCACGTTGCCACTAGTCAGGCCCTCTCAGAGAGAGATCTCAGCATTGGGTTGACTCACATGGACTTTGGATTAGGTAGTGTGGTGTACAGGGTACTGGCTCTGTGGCCTCACCAAGTCACTGGCCTTTCCTGAGTTTCTATAGTCCTCCCTGTCTGTTCCCAGCCGAGGGTGCACAATGAGTGCACTTTGGTTTGTACTCCTGCTTGTCTTTCTCAATTCGATCAGAAACTCCCTGAGGCAAGGGCATTCCTTCCTCTTCCTTGTATGGCTATCCTCTCTCCATGCCCCTTCTGTCGTTACCAGTATCTTTGTTCCACCTGCTTCTAGGTGGCTGGAACACACACAGTTCCATGTCAAGATTCAGTGGGACCAACAGAGCCCTGGGGAGAGTGGCCGAAAAAGAAGCCTAAATCACATTCCCAGGCAGTGTTCTACTCAATAAGCAGAAGGGTGAAAGGGACACTGAAGGGTGGAAGGGAGTATCACTGTAACGAGCTGTCCTGACCAGAGTCTTTGTGGAGAGAGTGCCTGCAAAGAGCAAGATGCTGTCCTAAGAGCCCAGTGAGGGCCAGAGACATAAGTGCTGTGGGGGTGGGGGGTGGAGGTGAGTTTCAGGGAAGAGAACTCAAAACAACAAACCATAGCTACTGCTGATTGGGAACTCGGGAACCCCTTATGCTGCACAATCCCCACAATGTTAGGTAGATGATACTGACCCATTTTATGGATAAGAAAACAAACCAAGACTTAGATGGAGTTTCCCCAGAGGCAGCTGGGTGGTAGGTTATGGAAGTGAGATAGGAATTCTGTCCATGGTTTCTGCTTTGTCCACTCTGCTGCGGTGAACCATTCATCAGGAAGCTGGTTACCAGTTCAGGAACCACTCACAAAACAGAATGAGTAGGCTGCATGGCCCCTGCCGTCCTCTTCCCCTCCAGCTTCCCTTATGTCCTGTGGCAGCCCTAGCGGGTCTGATCAATCCACAGCCAACTTAAGAGGTATCTCTTTCTGGACAGGAGCCACCACGGGACCGAGCCTTGGTGGACCATGAGAATGTCATCAGCTGTCCCCACCTGGGCGCCAGCACCAAGGAGGCCCAGAGCCGCTGTGGAGAGGAGATCGCCATCCAGTTTGTGGACATGGTGAAGGGGAAATCTCTAGCAGGGGTTGTGAGTATCATTGCCTGGAATTTGGGGCCTGACTATGACAGCGTAGGTGCACAGATTCAGCCCTGGAGTTGGAGAGAAGGAAAGGCACTTGGGTTGGCCTCCTTGGGGAGGATGGGCAAGACTGGCCTATCTGCAGCCTGCATAGCAGAGATCTTGGTGCTGTTACATTGTAGCCTTTCTAGGCCTGGCCTCTAGAGAAAGGCTCCTTTGTTGTCCACATGCCTTGGGAATGAAGGAGTGTTGCTAGGGCAACAGAGCTGTACCCAGTGAGTGGCAAGGGGGGTTGGTTGGCAGCAGTGTAGAAAGCCCCTGTAGGTAAAGTGGGGGTGTATTTCAAGTGGCAGAGCACCTGCCTAGCAAGTACAAGGCCCTGAGTTCAAACCTCAATACTGTCAAAAAAAAAAAGTTTCCTTTATGGTAGCTGGCACCTTACAAACTCCCCAGAGCACTCTTGGCCTCATGTCCATGGTCCAGTCTCACCCTGCTACCCTGCCATGACAACCTGTCTCCTCACTCCCAATGTGAGCCCTCACTGCTGGCTGGCCTGCCTTACCCCCCATTTGTGGCATAGAAAACTCACTTCTTGTCTTTATTCACATCAGACCCCTCCTGGTGTGTTTTTCTCCAAGATTAATCTAACTGACATGTCAAGTTAAAAGTCTGGGTATTGTGTAAGTTTCATTGGGTACAGATGCTGCCGTGGCCCCTGGGGGACACAGATGAACACCGCAGACATAGCTCCTTCCTTGCAAGGGCTCATCATATCTTTTGCTGGGCTTTGTGGCTCCACCTCAATTCTTTCGTTAATTTACCACATTCTCATTAGTAAACTTCCACAAATTTATATTTTTCTAACTAAATTCTAAGTTCTCTGAAGATAAAACATGACGTAAGTTTCCTTGCAGGTATGTAGGTGGCCCAATACATGTAACCAGTACTCTGGAAAAGTCCACGAATGAGACTGGGGGATGGGGTTGGGGGATAGGGAGTACCTGGCTTCTCCGCCTGTCCCCCAGCCTGGGGACATTCACTGGCAGGATGGACACACTTTGTTTTGTTCACTCGTACCTCCACTGGTTGGATAGATCAACTCCTCGTCTGAGAATTGGGGAGCCTTCTCCTGCCTGGCACCCCTCCCATATGGTCTGTGGAAATCAGGAGGGCTCCTTACGGCCCATGATGCGATGGGAGGTCTGCAGAGCCTGTGGTGGTCGCAGGTCGGGAGGCCTGTCTTTTCTCTCTCCTCTTTATGCTGCATTGGCTCCTCAGGCCAGAGCACGCTTTGTCCTCATCTTGCTCCCCAGGAGGCTTCTGAGCAGTTCTCTCCTCCCAAGTGACTCTCAAGGGGATCCACTGCCAGTCAGCTTGGGCGTGGATCAAGTCTCGCAGCCCTTTCAAAGGGAAGACAGGTTTCTGCCTCCCCACTGCAGCCCTTGTGAAGTATTCATTTGCTTGTTATTAGGTAGTGGTAACACTCCAGGGCATTTCCCTAACAGGACTCCTTAATACAAGCTCCATCAAATGGAGCCACAAAGTGTCCCCATCTTACAAAATAGGTAAAACCTCTTGGTTAATAGTTAAACGTCAGCAAATTTAACTGTCTACCGAAAGCTGCTAATGGGCTTCAAGAAAGCATTTGGAAAGAAAGACCGTTCTGTCACAAGGAAATACCTCTTCCTAATTCTTTGCCGCATCTTCTCCAGTTCAGTTCTGTTCTAACCATAGCACAGATGAACGTTAGTGGCAGATTGGTATCCAAAGGCACCTGACTGTTCCTGGAATATTTCTGTTGTCTTGTAGACATGGCCACTGTGCCTCTTTTCATTCTGTAGACCTGCAGTGAGCACATCCCAGGTTGGGTTTTCTGGACCCCAGACAGAGGACCAAAACCAGGCATGGCACTGCCTTTGGGGCTTCTTAGCTAAGCACATTTCCTGTGCCTGCTGTAGCTCCTGGCCCAGCCAGCTGTTGCATAGCCCTCCAGCTCTTGGCCCAGCAGCTGATCTGTCCCTGGTCCACTTCCTAGCACACTGCTCTTCCTTTCTGTGTCCCCCTTGGAGAAGATACGGAGAGTGCCTGCATCAGGAAACCCTCTCACCAGTCCCCTCACACCCAGAAGGTCTCGTAGGAAGGTCATTTCTAGTACCAAACCTGACAAGTAGAGCCAGAAGTATCTTGAACCACAAACAGAAAGCTGATGGCTCACGCCTATAATACTACAGGGTGAACTACTTAGAAGGCTGAGATCAGGAGGATCTTGATTCCAGGACAGCCTGGGCAAGTAGTTCACGGATCCCGTCTTCAAAATAATGAGGAAAATGGACTGGAGGTATGGCTTAAGCAGTAGAGCACCTACTTTGCCAGTGTGAAGCTCTGAGTTCAAACCACATTCCCACCAAAAAAAAAAAAAGGAATAGAATTTAGGTCTAGAACAAGCTGGCTTTGTTACCACCCCTCCAGCCAGTGAGACCCTAGACATGGAATCTCAAGAGGCTTTGTGACTCTGCTGCTCGCTTTCCCAGCATACCTCCCAGTGGACTTGACATATGTCAATGTTTGAAGCATGATAGGAATGCGAGTCCCACCTTATGAATTGTGACGAGTGATCATAGTATCCGATGACAAGATAAACATTCACTTAAAAACAATCAAAATAGAAAAAATGAAGGCAAATAGGGATGACACTCTATCTCCATGCCATACATAGCTCCCATGTTTTTTCTGTTAAGGGCCCACCTTTTATTGTGCTGTCCAGATCCTTCTCCAGCACAGAAGAAACAAGTCTCCCACAGGGGGCCAGGGCTAACATAAGTCAGCAAAGGGAGTGAGGCCTCTTTCCCCTCTCTGGCCATTTTGTGTGGTCTTCACCTTTTGTGTCCATTTCTGGCTCTACAGGTCTTCTCCCCTGTAGGGACAAGTCATTATCATCTTCTTGGTGACTGATGGAAGTTGTTACCCACCAGGTACCCAAAGCACAGGTGGCTCTAAACCTCCCATCCATGCCTACTGGGCTTTTGGCAAGAAGAGCTTGAATCACTTGCTGACTGAGGCTAGTGTGCCCAACCCGTCTCACCCTGCTCCCTCCTTTCTCTGCAGGTAAATGCGCAGGCTCTTACCAGTGCCTTCTCCCCACACACCAAGCCTTGGATTGGTCTAGCAGAAGCTCTAGGGACACTGATACGAGCCTGGGCTGGCTCTCCCAAGGGGACCATCCAGGTGGTAACACAAGGTGAGGCTGGCTCAAGCTGACAAGCAGAGGGAGGGGACCCTTCCCTTCTAGATGTGTCTGCTGCCAGTCACAGCTAGGGAGAGACGCAGGTGACTTGGGCCTTGCTCACTTACCACTGAGGAAAGAGCAAAGGGTATGGGTATAAAGTCACTGGGGAAATATATTTAATTTTCATAGATCATGTTTATGCAGTATATGTAGGGTAGATGTGTTTGGGTGCAAGAGAGACCTTCTGTTGGAGTCAGCAATGGGACCTTGCCTGTGTGAGTTGGTACCTGGCCTTGTGAGAAAGCTCCAAGGAACTGGGGCAAAAGTCTCAGACCAGACTGTGCCTGTGTGAGTTGGTATCTGGCCTTGTGAGAAAGCCAGACGTCCAGAAAAACAACATTCAGGGTTCCCAGATGGCTTCGTGGCCTTCAGATGTAAATAAGAAAGTTAGGTTGACTGTGTGCTTCTCCTGCTTCTCTGTTCCTGTTTTAAAGGAGACATAACAAAGAGTGAATTTTAACTGTGCTTCCCTGAGCTAATGTAACCTTGACACATAATACTTGGCATGCTTTTTCTGACCAAATGCTCTCTGTGTAAAAGGAGTTTATAAAAAGCAATGTATACTTCATTAAAGTGGCTATTGAGCAGGACTCAGTAGTCCCCTCATCTCTTCTGGCTTCGGTCACCCAGGTTCTGCTGGTAAATGGCATTACAGCCTTTGACACAATTTTGTGTAAGTGAATAGGTCAATGGAGAGTCCCAAATTAGACAATAGGCTTGTTTAGCTCTGTTTTTTTGTTTTGTTTTTGTTGTTTGGTTTTTGTTTTAATTTTGTGGGTTTTTTTTTTTTTTTTTTTTCGCAGTACTGGGGCTTGAACTCAGGGACTACACCTTGAGCTACTCCACCAGCCCATTTTTGTGAAGGGTTTTTTAAGATAGGATCTCAAGAACTATTTGCCCAGGCTGGCTTCAAACTGCGATCCTCCTGATCTCTGCCTCCTGAGTAGCTAGGATTACAGGTGTGAGCCACTGGTGCCCAGCTTGACTCTGGTTTTGACCCTGTTGCTTGCCTGCTGGATGATTTAGTCTCCTCCAAACCTTGGGCTCTTCACATGTGAAGGGAGTCAGGGTAGATGTGTGTCCAATGTGGCAGTGCGGACATTTTGTGCTCTTTGACTTACCAAGGAGGACCTTGGGCAATCTGAAAGTTCTTGTGGGTGTTTGCTCAGCCATACGTGGGAATGGGCATGGTGCTCTCTGTCTACCCCTGGCTGCCGGCGGCTCACTGTCTTTGTAGTAGATCCAGCATTCTTGATTAAGTGACCAGGGAGGGTTCCTTTTCCCTTCACTGTAGAAGTTTGTCCTCCTCTGTTGACTGTTGGCCATCTGACACTTGGGGAGAGTTAGACCCCAAATATTGGCAGAAACAGCACAGGGAACTGGCCACAGTTGCTTCAGTTGCTCCTGTTGCTCCTTTCCGTTCATTTCCTGAGCTTACAAGGGTCTGAGTGCCAAGTATGGGTGGGTGTAGGGAATTTTCCAGGTGTCCCCTGGGAGTTAGATAGGCAAGCCAGGGTAGCCAGTAGAGGTAGCCTGAGTTTTGAAGGGGAGTTTCTCAGGCTGGCTCAGGTGTCTTGGGTTTCCTGGCTTGGACAAAGAGATGTCCTCTGTCTGGATCTGAGTGCTGTAGAGGGGGCAGGCTGCCCAGTGCAGCTGCACAGTCCCAGTGAAATGAGGAGGTCATAGCTCAGAGCTATATGCCTGTTCCCCCCCGCCACCAGCCCCTGCTCAGTGAACAGTGACCTTAGGATAACTCTCTGTCCCCAGGCACATCTCTGAAGAATGCTGGCAGTTGTCTAAGCCCTGCAGTCATTGTCGGCCTCCTGAAAGAAGCTTCCAAACAGGCGGATGTGAACTTGGTGAATGCCAAGCTGCTGGTGAAAGACACTGGCCTCAATGTGCGTTGCAGCATACCCGTCCCCCTCCACCCGCCATCAACACTGCTCTTCCACCCCACCCCCATTTCAGAGCCTGCTTACAGCTTTGCTCTTTGTATGCCAGTCCTGCCATCCACCCTGCCAGGTTCTCCATGAGGTTGCACACCTTGGGGCCAGCATACTCTGTTGCCTCTCAGCTTCTCTGTGGCATCTTCCCTTCTGGTTTCCTTTTCAGACCAAAGTCTGTATGTCTCAGCCAGTGAGAGTTGGCAGTAAGCCATGGAATATAAAGATCAGCCCCTGCCCCGCTCCTCCCCTCCTCTCCTACATCCCAGGCAGGACACTGATGCTGGAAGGGCCAGGCTGGGTCCTCTACACAGCCCTGCTTTCCACCTTCTCTCTTTCCCTCTTCTCAATTCCCGACCCTCCCCACCAAGCCTGTACCTGGCAGTCTTCTCTGTATCTTTCCTGTATGGAGGCCATTGACTGTCCTAGGAAGCTAGTGCTCACAGGCACAGGGCTTACCCCACTTGCGTCTGGTCCTTAATTTGCTGAGCCCGCTGGCTAGGCTAGAGCCCTGCTCGTGGGCAGTCAGGCTGAGTGAGGTGGGGGCAGAGGTGGTGTAGCCAGGAGGAGTAACTGTCTCTTTTCCTCCCTCTGCAGGTTACCACCTCTCACAGCCCTGTGGCACCAGGGGAACAGAGCAGCGGGGAATGTCTCTTGACCGTGGCCTTGGCAGGTGCTCCTTACCAGGCTGTGGGCTCAGTCCAGGGCACCACGCCTGTACTTCAGGTGCTCAACGGAGCCGTATTCAGGCCAGAAGTGCCCCTCCGCCGGGGCCTGCCCCTGCTCATGTTCCGTGCTCAGCCCTCCAACCCTGCAATGCTGCCTACCATGATTGGTGAGGAAGGCTGTTTGTGGTGAGGTGGGGTCTGTCCTGGTATTGGGCCTACTTCCTTCCACCCCTTTTCATGCCTCAGGGCATGTCTGGATCTGTACCATAGAGGGGTCTTGTGCCAGTTTCCAGAACATTCAGGGTTAATTTCTTGTTTAGAGAGGGCAAGTGCCTAATGTAATGTCACAGAGCAATATGGGCAGGGGAGCCTATTACTAGTCCAGCCCCAGGTCCTAGACTTGCCAAGTTAAGCACACTGCTTACACCTGCCTATAATATCCTATCCCAGGAGCTCAGGGACCACTGAGTGCTTGTTTCCCACTCCTACCTGCAGGCCCTGGTAGCAACAAAGCCCATCAGATCATGACTCCAACCCCTCCCTCACTTGTCCCCTCCTCCACCATGGTTGTGGCATCTTGGACCTGCTGGAGTCTTTTGGGGGCCTGGGCTACTAGGAGTTTGGGAACATGTCCAGGTTTGACAGAGGGCGTGTCCCCAGACCCTGAGGGACCTAGTTTCACCATTCTTGTCAACTTAGCAGAGAAACTTCCCTGCTTTTCTCCCTGGCTGTTGACTTGGCAATCTGCAAATGAAAAGCTCTTGCTCTTTGCCTGATGGTCAGGCTGTGCCTAAAGTCTCTGGAACAGAGGAGAGCTAGACAGACACCCTGTTCTCCTTCTGTCTCAGCTCTGATGCTGAGACCAGCGTCCTCTGTGTAGCTTTGGTCACAGAAACCTGACTTCTGACTGCTCAAGCCCCTTGCTCCTTCTACCATGCCAATCAGGAGTTTCTTCTCCTTCCAGGGCTCCTGGCACAGGCAGGTGTGCAGCTGCTGTCCTACCAGACTTCAATGGCGTCCAATGGGGAGACCTGGCACGTCATGGGCATCTCCTCCCTGCTGCCCACCCTGGAAGCCTGGAAGCAGCATGTGTCTGAGGCCTTTCAATTCTGCTTTTAACCTTGGAACTCACTGACCCTCGTGGGGCTTTTCTGAAGAAACCTGCCCAATGTGAGCCATAGGAAGAGGAGATCCACATTCCTGGGGCACAGGCCTCTGGCACCACTTTGCTGTACTAACCTGCAGTACAGCAATATAATGATGTAATAAAGAGCATCCCTGTGTTTTTGTGCTGTCATTACTCAGGAGTGCCACCAGAGGGCATCCACAGACAACCTTGAGACCTGATTTGGCTGTGGGAGGGTAGGCTGGTGTAAAGGGAGTTGCCTCAACCAATAGTGTAGGTGTGATGACCCCGTCCTCTCAAGGTTATTCAGAGGCAAAGCTCAAGGTATTCCATCTGGGAACGATGATGAGTGAAATTCAGTAAACGTGCATAGCACTGCCAGGTAAGTACTTTGCCTTAGATGAATTCAGGGCTGACCCCTCTCAGAAGTCTGGCTTGAGCATATACAGATCACAGAAGCCTGAACTGGGTGCAAACCACAGGGGGATGGCAAAGATCTCTGAGTCCCTAGGAAAAAGTGACTTGAGCTGAGGACATTGGAGTCTCAGGAGATGTTTAGAAGGATTTCACAAGAGGAAGAAAGTGAGAAAGTTTGAAAGGTGCACACAGCAAGCTTGATGTGAATTGGACAATATATTTTTTTTCCCTAAAGGTGATTTTCATGAAAAATTGAATAGCACTGTATTTTAAGTTTCTGCCTTTTGAGAGTTTTCCTCCTATTGCGGGAAGACCCATGGCTGATAGCCTAAAAAAGCCTGACTCTGGCCAGCTGCTTTCACCTCCTGTGAGGATGGAACTCCCAACAGCAAGGGTTTGCTGGCATCTGTGGTGACCTTGAGTGGATATCATAACCTTGCTGAGGCCTTCTGATTTGACAAGTAGCTTTCCTGTGCCTTCACTTTGATGGCATCCAGCCAGATGGGAGCACTGGGTGTCCTGACAATAGATGGCCCATTTCCTCCTATCAGGAAAGTAGCTGTGCCTCACATAGCACCTACTGAGGTCATTCACTGATAACATCCAGTTAAACACAGAGCTCAAGCCCAAGCATGGTGTTACATGTCTGTAATCCCAGGTTGTGGGGAGGAGGGGAATGGAAGGATTGTGAATTAAAGGCCAGCCCAGGAAAAGTTATCAAGACTCTGTATTAAAAAACAGTACAAAAAAAAAAAGGGTGTGGCTCAAGTGGTAGAGCACTTGCCTAGCATGCACAAAGCCATGGGTTCAATCCCCAGTATCACATACCCTACATCCAATTTTCAATCCTTCAACCTCCTTGCCCCAAATCCTTAGACAAGCTAATTGCACACCAAAGTGGTCAAGACAATGCCAGAGACCCAAATAACCTGGGGATCTCCAAATACCTTCCTTGACATAATCATGAGAGGACATGGGACGATTTCATTGCATCACCTGGTCCACAGCTGTTTAGATAGCCTTTCCTAAATGCAGGGCCTCGCACATGCTAGGTACATGCTCTGCCACTGAGCTACGCCCCAGGCCCAGGATTAAATTTAGAATGCAGCTGGTGCTATGGACGTGCCATCAATTCATTTCTGTCAGTTTGGCTTCTGCACCACCTTCAGAGTGCAGTTTCATGTGTGTGTGTGAAGCAGAGGCTCTCAGGGAGATGGCTGATCTATGAAATGATGGAACTGGACTCAAAAAGCTGTCTTCTAGCAGGGTGCAGTGGTTCACATCTGTAATCCTAGCTACTTGGGCGGCTGAGATCAGGAGGATCAAGGTTTGCGGTCAGGTCAGGCAAAAAGTTCACAAGACCCCCATCTCAACCAATATCTGGGTGCAGCAGCATGTGCCTATCCCAAACTGGTGGGAAGAGCAAAACAGGCCAGGCTGGCCTGGGCAAAAAGGACCCTTATCTCCAAAATAACCAAAGCAAAAAGGACTGGAGGAATGGCTCAAGCAATAGAGCGCCTGCCCAGCAAGTATGAAGCCCTGAGTTCAAACCTCAGTATCAAAAAATAAAAACAAATCCAAGTGTCGGAGTTCTGAGCTTTAAAAATTAGAAATTTAGTGTGTGATGTGCACGGTGTTCCTCTAGAGACAAAGTTGCCTCATGGTTGTTGGGTGTTTTAAGACACCATTATCACAGGTGTCTTAAAACAGAAAATGTCAAGCATTCTTGTGAGACAGGCATCATTGGGTGTCATCCCTCAGTCTGCCCAGTCACACAGGGAAGTTCTCCGTGTGCCTGGTATAGCAGACTTCAGGGTGAGTGTGGTGACAGGGTGATTGGAATCTCCTTTTCTCCTGTGCTGACCTTCCCTAGGGGACAGGGCTTTCGAGACCGGCTGTGTCCATTTTAATGAAGAGATCCCAGAGCTGCCAGAGGAAGACCTGGGACTCAGCATAAAAGCTGGTGAGGAAGGGTGTGGAAGGAGACCCAGGACCTGTGTTTGTGTGATGGTGATGATGAATGCCATCTGAGTGCCCTACATGTGACCCGAGGCTGACACTCAGCTGGTGTGGGGACATCCATTCAATTGGTCAGCCACTGATACCCTGGATGTGAATATTTTTAAGATCATCCCTGCTTGTGTGCAAATGATCCCTGGTGGAGGCAGGCCGGGCCCCAGCAGTAGATGGCAGGGGAAGTCCTGGTTGCCAAAGCTGATGGAGGCTCTTTTAGTACCAAGACCTTACTGAGGGCTCCTGCATGGCTAGAAAGTGGGACTCAGTCCCGTCTCAGGAACTCAGGTGAACACAGACTTTTCTCCATGAAAACAGACGCTATTCCAGACTTCTAGGGCGTAGCGATTGTCCTGCCAGGGGTGCCAGGCAGATTTGAGAACCCCACTGCTTGCTGAGAAGCAGGCAGAGGAGAGGCTGTCAAGCGGCGGTTCAGCTGGGAGTAGAATGCCGTCCCAGTAGCACCCCAAGGGCCTGGGTGGGCAGTCAACTGATGCTGGATCAGCAGCTCACACTGGGCTCCTCTCAGATTTGCTGGTATCTGTGTGACACAGTCATCTCTTCATGGGCTGCCATCCTAATCTCTGGCTAGGGAACCGCTCTTCTCCAAGGGCTTTTTAAAAGAAATGAAGGGCAACAGCCCTAGTGCTCCCCTCTTCTTCCTTGTTTTTCCTCTCTCCTCCTCAGTTCAGGCCCCAGCTCCTCCTATGAGGACTCTGGAAAGAGCAATGCCCTCAATCCAAGTGAAACAGAAATCATTTAATGGACACTTTCCTGCTTGGTATCAAAACTTTTAAAATTTCTTTATTTATCTGCTTAGAGAATCCCCAAACTTAATCTATTAACCTGTGCCCTGGTTTGTTGTCGTTGTTACTGTGTAGCCCAGGCTGACCTCAGACTCTGATTTTCCTGCCTCTGTCTCCTGAGTGCCTGGTGTGATCTGTGTTTTTTGGTTTTTGTCCAAGTAACACTGGCCAGGTGTGAAAAGAAGGTTTGATCTATAGTTCCTGCTGGCCCCTGCCTGGATGGTGTCTGTAGAATAGAGAAGGCGTCTGGGGGAAGAAGCCATATCTCATTATCTTTATTTGCTTTATATCTGCCATAATACTTCTTTTTAATTTTAATTTTTTTTTGGCAGCACTGGGGTTTGAACTCAGGGCCTCACACTTGCTAGGCAGACACTCTACCACTTGAGCCACTCCACCAGCCATAGTACTTCTTGGCAGGTGGCATTCAAATGGAATCAGAAGTGGGTATGGTGAGTGTCTGGCCTTCAGTGTGCTTTGGGTTCCAGAAAATACAAGAGTCATTTTCTTCTCTCTTTTTTAATGACCAGGTATTAGCTCAGAACAAGATACAAAATTCAGAAAGTCACAGGACACTGTAAGAAATAAGCAAAAAAAAAAAAAAAAAATCACAGCAGTATAATAATAAGCTGTAACAAATGATAAGAAGGTTTATCTGGACCTTGAAGGAGACAACTTCTATTCCACATTTCAGGAAACCAGTGATGCAGGAAGCAGCCTTACCTTTCCTCATCTCCCTCTTCACAAAGGGACCCTGGCCATAGCACTATGAACCCTTGACAGTGACCGCAGCAGGGAAAGTCATGAAGGACCGCAAAGGATGGGCCCCTCACCACAGGGCTGATGCTTCTTCAGGGGACTACAGTGTCAATTCATTTACCAGCTAAGAGTGGAATACTAAGTGTGTGATTTGTGGACAGAAGCTCTGGTAATGAACCATTCCATGGATCTCTACAAAGTAAAACAAAAAAAGATTTATTCATGAATCTCATCCTATACACCCCGACCCCCACACCTGCTCCCTGACCAAGATGTAGGAGTGGCTGTACAAAGGGGCTCCCCTAACTGCACCCTGAGGTCTGGGATGCCCACTTAGCTCCAAGCCTTGATGCCTGAAGGACCTGACACCCAATGCTTACAGGAGTCAAGGCTGGGGTGAAGAGGACCCCTGTCACATGCTCTGCCTGAACAGGCAGGAGGCTGGGGCAGTGCAGGGACCCAAGGAGCTCCACCAGTCATTGACATAAGTCCTTCCTTCAGCTGAAAGCCATTGTCACCTGAATAATCAGCATGAGCAGATACGGTCCCAGTAAGCACAACACTGCCCCAGCACTGGTGAAAGAAGACATCTAATTTGGAATTATCCTTTGAAAACCTCCAAGTCCCTGTCTCTCTCTTTCTCTGTTTCTCATGACTGAACTAGCTGCATGTACTTGTTAGCCTGTTTTGCCACTAACCTGCCCCTAAGAACTGTATTTCAAACAAACTGCCTGGTATAGTGTGAAGTCTTGTGACCCTGACATTGCCCTTCTCAGTCCCACATGTAATCCCAGCTACTCAGGAGGCAGAGATCAGCATCACAGTTGGCAGCCAGCCAGCGCAAATAGTTCACAAGACCCTATCTCGAAAATACCTAACACACAAAAAAAGTGCTGATGGAGTGGCTCAAGGTGTAGGCCCTGAGTTCAAACTCCAAGATGAGGAAAAGAAAAGATTTCAGAAAGTGCTTCTCTCCCAGCTTCTGCCTTCCCTAGCGTTGTCATCGCTGCTCAGGCACACAGTGGCTTCAGTCACTTCGTAGGTGTGATGCTCTCTGGCCTGGCTACAGAATCCCAATAGCAACTCCCACCCGCAGGAAGTCATCAGGGCCCAGTGCGCCCCCTCCCCGGTCCATTCCCGCGCCCCCGCCCTCACTCACCCCCTTTAGACCGGGCGCCGCGCATACTTGCGGCGGTGCATTTCGTCCACTCGCTCCAGATACCAAGTACCTGGGAAAAGGTTGTTTGTGTCGCCAGGTGGTGAGAAATTCACTGTAGAATGAGGCAAAGAGATCAGATTCAAAAAGAGCTGCCTGGGTTTGGGGAAGAGAAAGTTGGAACAGGAAGGTGCACAGGTTCAAGGTGAAGTGCAAGGTCACATTCAAGGTCACAGAACACTGGGCAGGACAGCCGGAGAGACAACCATCTTGGATCTGGTACTCGTGGCCTGCCTGGCCATCATCGTGTTTATTACATGAGTGATGTATTTTTCTACAGAAAGCACGCCGTTGGTCCACTGAAATCTTCATCGCATCTTTCTGCCTCAGCTGAGTATCCCTTAGAACTTCCTGCTTCCTAATCTACACTTCCTTCCCCATTTCGGACCTGTGGCTCTGAACCATTGCAGTGCTGAGAGCTTTGTTCGTTAAAATTCAGCACAAAGATCCTGTTTTTATTTTCAGTGCTCAAATGTGTCCCTGCTGCTGATGAGATCAATGATCCCCAGGTCTAGGGCTTCTAGAACATTCCCAATTCCACATATTCATCCTCCCGTTTAGGCCACCCTGCAAACCATGTGCCCCGACCTTTGTTTGAGAATATGTCAACCATGGTTTGAAAGCCCCACTTCTCCAGTCCTATTTTTGACTTTTATTTCCTTTTCATTTGTTGCTTTTCTGGTTTTTACGTTTGGCCAAGAAAGGGGGCATCTGGAAGGAGACAATGATATTTGATGATAACTTATCTAAGAACATTAACTCATTTAATCTCTTTGGAAAGAAATCCTGCAAAGCTAGTACAGTTTCAGAAATGAGACAACAGAGAAAAGTTCAGTCATTTTCTGAAGACACATAGTAAATGACTAGCTCAGGTTTAGATTAGGTTATCTAAGAATAAAGTCTGGGGTGTTTCAGGATTTGCACAGACAGCGTTTTCAAAGGCTTCCATGGGACAACATTGATCCTCAGGTTCCAGGTAGTTAGCTATAATCTCTCCCTGGAAGCCCCCTACCTCCTACCTCTTCCCACTTTAGCATTCTATTTGCACACACAGTTCTTGCTCCTTTTGATCTTCACCCAATCTGATCTCAACCTTGACTTGGGTCCACTAGGTGCTAGATTTCTGATGACTCCCACTTCCCACCTACTGGCATGGAATGGAGATGAACATTTTCTCCTCCCTGCTTCCTGTTCCTTTTCTTACCCTTGTGGTAGAATTGCTCTCTTTGGTTCATTATTTCTGTGAATTCTTCAGGAGACATGCGCTTCGGGAGTCCAAGCGTTTGGGCAGGTCTGATACACTAGACACCAGCTTCTCCAGTGGGGAGCCTGGGAAGCCAAAACAAGATTGCTAAATATTCATTGTCATTATCACTAACACCGACAGAGAGCCACGACGCTCGGGAATTTGCATCCTCAGGGAAGGGCTGTATGTATGGCTCAGAATACAAGAAATAATAAGCAAATGTGAATGTTAGCAAAATGGACTGGCAGATGCATTCAGTCAAGGTTTTTCCTACATAGTGCTTACATATGTGTTTTTGATCAGCACAATCATGAAACAATTGACAAACTTTACTGGATACTTCAAGTCCATTAACTTTTCTTTAATCAGTTACAACCAAACTATCATTACTCTTGCCTACACTATTTGTGGAAACAGTCCAACTGTTTTTTCCCATATCACCTTTGCTCCTCCTCAGTCACTAAGTTGTAGCCAAGGAAGTGTTTTAAATACATAAATTACACTAACTTACTCTGTTGCTAAAATATCTCCAGGGATTTTCTTTGCTCTTGATCACAACATGGCTCTGTCAAGATGCAGTCTCAGCATGGCAAGGCAGCAGAGGGCTCTAGTCAGGAGTCCCTGATAGAAAAACTCACCTGGAGATGCGTCTTGGGACACTCGGAATGAGAAAAGACTTGCAGCTAAGCCTGAGCCATAGGAGAAGGCACCGATCCTGGAGCCAGCCAATTCTTGGGCAGAGTGACTGCAGAGAAAGAAAACAAAATCAAAATTCTGTGTTTAAGTAAAGCATTGACTCGTGTTTTACATTTCAAGTAAAGTCCATCCTGTCTCATCCTTGTCCACCTCAGGCAACTAGAAATGCACTCCAAGCATTCCTCACAGAGAGAATCTTGGTAGAAACCATGACAGAACCAGGAGTAAGAAACCTTGTGAAGAGGAGAGCAGCTGGCCAGGCCAGGTGTGATGGTACATATCTGCAGTCCCAGCACTCAGGAGCACTCAGGTGGAAGGATTGAGAATTTGAAGCCAGCAGGGCTACATAGAGAGACCTTGTCTCAAAAATAAATAAATAAATAAAAATAAAAAGAAACACAGCAACCAAAGTTTAAACATAAAGCATAAATAAAATTCTGGGGTGCAAAGAAAATTTCTCCCCACTCTAGAGAAATGAATTCTGTGAAGGTGCATCCAGATGGAGGTCAGGCCCCTGGACTCACCCTCAGGTCTCCTTAATTTCTTAAGTCATAGTCACCCATTAGTAATAATTTGATCAAGTTCACACATAAGTATTTTTATATATTTATTATATATATGGTACTGGAATTTGAACTCAGCGCCTTGCACTTGCTTAGACAGGTGCTCTGTCACTTAAGCCATGCCTCCAACCCTTTTTGCTTTAGCTATTTTTCAGGTAAGGTCTCCTGCTTTTGTCCGGCTGGCTTAAGATGGCAATCCTCCTACCTCCACCTCCCTCGGAGCTGGGATTACAGCAGTGAACCACCATGCCCAGCTATTTTTTGAGATAAGGTCTTGCTAACTTTTTGCCTGAGCTGTCCTGGAACCTTGATGTTCCTAATCTCCACCTCCTGAGTAGCTGGAGGCCACCAAGCCTGGCCCCAAGTTAGGTAATTTTTTTCAAGATCAAAGCTCAAGAGATGTAAATAGATTTGAACCCAAATTGTGGGATATAAAGCTAGACTCTCTTAATCACCATGCTGGACTAAGTGCAAGGACTTTTTTTTTTTGTAGTTCTGAGGCTTGAACTCAGGGCTTACACCTTGAGCCACTCCACTTGCCCTTTTTTGTGTTGGGTTTTTTCAAGATAGGGTCTCTCGAACTATTTGCTCGGCCTGGCTTCAAACTGTGGTCTTCCTGATCTCTGCTTCCTGAGTAGCTAGGATTATAGGTGTGAGCCACCAGTGCCTGGCAAGTGCAGAGATTTTAATAGATGAGACAGAATATGTACCCAAGCCCTACCATTTTCTCCTTGCACCCAGGTAGATCTTGAACTACACACATGTGCTTCACTTGGAGACACAGATGGTGACTCTGCCTGCATACACACCTTAGAAACAAGTTTTTTCATCTTCCTTCTTCTTCCTTTCTCCCTCCTCTCTCCCTTCATTTCTTTTAAAAGAGGAGCCAAACTTGGATGACCCCAGAGGTGGACCAGACACAGTACTCACTGAGACAGAAGGGAGGCCAGGCACCCGTACAGGGAGGAGGTGTACATGTTCCCATTGTGCGTGGAGAGGTAAAGGGAAGTCTTGGTCTTCTTGTTAAACATGTCCAGAGAGGCCTTTAGAAGTGCTTTGTCCACTTCCTTGTTGGTGTAGGTGTCTTCCAGCTTTAGATCCCTGTGAGGCAGGCAGAGGCAGTCAGGTAAGGTGGCTGGTGGCGGGGGTGGGGGGGGCGGGGAGAAAGTGACAGTTTTGGGGCTGGAGAGAAGGCTCTGGAGCTTTGGGGTACAGGTTTTTTTTTGTTTAATAATACATGGAAATGCAGAAACATTCAAATTAAACATGCCACTAACAGTTCTACCATTCAGAGATAGCATTTAGAGGACACGTTTTTTGTGGAGTCCATCCCTACTTTCATAAACTACTAGAAAACTAGAAATAAAATTATAGTACACATTTTGTTCAGTATGCTTTCTTTACTCAGAATATGCATATATTTCTCCAGGACATTAAATCATCTCTGATCACCTTATTTTACCTGATAAAATACTGCCCAAAAAGCTCTACGTTCATTTACACATGTCCCATGACTCCTTAAAACATGCAAACCCACTGTTACCCATTTTTCCCACAGCCTCATCAATTCTGGGTATTAAAAATTTAAAAAGAGTAGGTAAATCAAATAGTAACTTGCTTAAATGTTTACTAATTTGCATACACATTTTAAATATTATTTGCATTTCTTTTTTGAGGAAAGTTCTTGTTCATATCCTTTTGACCACTTTTCTATGAGAGTAGTTATTATTATATTATAAGATTTATATATGTTAAAAGTACTAAGCTATTTTCTTTGGTGCTACACCTTTTGTTTTGATAGGGCAAGTTTTACAAGCACTGTTTGTGCTAATTTTGATGTTTTAGTGTCAGGGTTAGTAGAAGTAAGTGCTAGTATAGAGGGAGATATTGGTAGACTAAAACTTAAAGTGAACAGACACCAAGAAGAAAGAGAAAGTCCCCCTCCCAGGGAGAATTCCTTACATTGCAGATGATTCTTTTCTAACTATCTTAGAGCAGGACACCAATAAACAGCTTTCTTATTGCTTTTAGACATCTCGGGGATGAGCTGGACTATGTTCATTTTATACATGAGAGAAACTGTGGTAACCAGCAAAACAATGGCAAGTGAGAATGGGACTGACAGTCCCCACATTGCCATCCTTTACTGTAATTGTTTGCTTCTGTATGCCTATGTCTGTGTAGACAGCAAATCAAAGGCCTGGACCATGGAGTCACATTCATTTGAGTATCCCTAGAGTTTAGTATGATGTTCAGCAGATGTTCAGAAAACATTTACTGACTGAATGATGTAGCCACACTTCCTTTCCTCTTTTTCTTATTCTCTGAAGCTTATTTTAGTACCTTGACCCAATGATGCAGGTAAGTTATCCATGCTCACCTGACATTACATATGCAAGGCACCACACAGACTTAACCCATTCCATCCCTCCATGGAAAGGCCCAGATCCTTTGTCTTGTGTTGGAGGAGTGCCAGAAGTCCAGATCCAAGGTCTGAGGTATTTCCTCCTGGCTCATCCTCATGAAACTCAAGCCTACATAAACAGGACTTACTTGAAAGCCTCGAGCCCCTTGTATAAGCTCTGTCTGTCGCTGCTGGATGACAGGAAGTCACTGAACATCAGGCGAGCCAGAGATTTCTGGACCATCTTGCAAAAGGGTGTGTGGAAGATCATATACTGTATATCATCGAGGGTGAAAGTCCGCTCAATTCCAGCTGGAAAAGGAAGTGCAGAGGAAGCATGAGGCTAGACTGCTTAGACCTACCTACTCTAGGAGAGAGGTCTAAGGCCAACGGCCTCCAGACGCAAGCACATGAGGTGTGTTCATTCATCTTACATGCATGGACTAAGTACCCTCTCCATGCAGGGAAAGACACAGGCAAAGTCAGCTATGTAAACAGAGCCCTGCTTTTTCCCATCCAAATCCCATACCTTGCTTCCACTGATTCTGGATTTTTTTACGGTAAGCTGCATAACATCGATCCAAGGCCCGTAAGTAGCACTGAATGGAGAGCTTCCCGTCCACCAGCGGGTATTCTGAATTCAAATTTGGCTTATAGAAGTCATATGCGTTCTCCATGTGGGTTCCCCTCAGCCCTGGAAAGGCACAGAGGGGTCAGGGGCTGTGCAAAGCAGGTGGCCTCCAGCAGACAGGATAGGAGAATCATGGGCAAAGAGCTTCCTGGCTTTTATATGTCTCCCATACCCAAGCAGAGCCTACTCAGTCCCCCCATATGGATTACATTTATTACATTGGATTTATATTTCACTTTCCACACCCACGTGGGCTGAACAAAGCCTGGAATAGAAGCCAAGATCTTCAGATGCACTTTGATCTCCTCCTGTTCTTTCAGGCAATTGCTGGTTTAGTTCCCCAAGCTTCCTCACCAGCACCTGCCCCACTGGTCCCATGATCCTATCCCAATGTGTGCTAAGAAAATCTCACCACTCCCTTCTGTCCATCCTCCTACCTTCTGATCCCCTGATAAGACTTTTGGAGGCCAGAGACACTGTCCTCACACCCTGGGATTAGGATCTAGGTATTCTGCTAGGCCCTTCACAGCTCTTGGTAATGGTTTGATACAAACCTCGCTCTAGGGCTAGAGGGGCCTGTGGCCCAATCAGCATCGCCACAGCTCCAGCCCCACCTGTGGGGCGGGCATTGCCACTGGGGTAGACAGCAATGTCCCCACACACCACCAGCGCATAACGGCCTGCAAAGACAGACAAGAAGACCTTATGTCATTCCCTGCCCACTGTGTGCCAGCATAGTTTTAGAGGGAACGAAACAAAACGACAAGCATAAGTTCTAGTGGAACCCATGGCACTTTAGAAATGTAAAGTCAAAACTCTGTATCCTCTAATTCCACTGTAACATGCTTATTTGTTCAGAATTCTATTTCTTTTGGTTTTTTGATTCTATTTGTTTATTTTCTTGTTTGTTTTTTTGAGACAAAGTCTTGCTATGTAGTCCAAGCTGACTTCAAACTCAAGATCGTCCTGTATCACCCTCCTCCCTCTCCCAAAATGCCAACACACCTGGCCAAAATTTTGGTTTTTGATTAAATAAAAAATTTGTTAATTGACACTTGCGGAGACAATTTAGGTTTGTACCAATCACTTTTTGGCACTCCATGATCCTGACATATCTTCTAAAACCATAGAAGGACAAGGAATAGAGAGGGAAATCAATATTTAAAATATGAATTGATGCTACTTATCCTCAAACAATCCTTAAATAGTCCCATAAGGTAGTTGATGTCTACACTTAGGGAAGAAGACACTGCCTTCCAGAGAGATTAGCTTGTCTAAGGCCACATCTTAGTGAATATGGAATTTGAAAATCAAACCCAGTTCTGACCAGATCCTAAGCTACTGTTTTGATCTCCTTGATCTACTTTCATGTGGAAAGAGTTTAAGTAAGCACATTTGATGGGAATTCACAGTAGCTAACTCTGTGATACAACATTACTCAACAAACAACTGTCTTGATGATTTTCTGTACTTGTATCTGAATGCTGAAGCTCTTATGTATGTTGATGTTGAATGATCTCTAAGACAGCAGAGATGAAGAATGTGACAATGTTTAAAGCTGATCTAGCACATAGAAAATTTTGGAAGAATACGTGGAAACTATTGGTGTTAATTAAATTCTGGAAGTGGTAATGGGGTGTCAAAAGGGGACTTTTTCTTCACTTTACACCTGTTAGTGTATGAGTACATGTTTTTTATTTTTCCAACTATAAGGTTCAATTACTTTCTCAAAAAAAAGAAGTCAATAAAACATGGGGAATTCCAGCCAATCTGAGTCAGCCCCACTCAGGGTCCTTCACACCCTGCTGTTTCCTCTGAGTGGTTCAGAATCCCTTGACATGTCCTAGAGGCATTCCCTGTCATTTGAGGGTCCCCAGTGGACAGTTGGCTAGATCAGAAGCAGTGATCTTAATCTCCACTGGCCCCCTTGGTCTTGGTGGTAGGTATCACCTCCAGTCCAGGGGTTTGGGTTCAAGCTTAGAGGTACTTTTTGTTTTACATACAAAACTAAGAACCAAACCCACTAGTTTGGTTTTTTTTTTATTTTTCTAAGATATCATATCAAAGACAGATGTATTCACAGCCTCTCATGTTTGGAGTACTCAGGCACTCAGCAAAGCCTACTCATTTGAAATGACATACTTGAAGCTGACATTGTCTCTAAGAATAGAATCTGATTTTTGGTTAAAAATTGGTGGATGTTCCTTGTCTTTCATTTCTACTCCCTATATAAATAGGAGGTTGAACCTATTGTGGTGGTGATAATAGCATAGGTTGCTATAATTATTATTGAATCAATAAGAGTGCCATGTGGGAGAAGCACTGTAAGAAGAAGAGGTTTGATGATGTAGAAACTGGGCCATCCATGTTAATGGAACCATTGAAGGTGAGGCCACATAAGATATGAATGAACTTGTGGGGTTGTACTGTCTTGCAGTGTGAACAGAGATAAACTGTTAAACTTCTCTTGACTCTTCCCCACTTTTTTGTTTAAAAAAAGAAAAGAATATTGGATTAGGTAACCTCTAAACTCTTGGTCAACATGAAAACTTTATAATTAATTATAATGAATATTTACTATGGTTTCCAAGGTTTTTAGTCCTACTTTCAAACTTGGTAAATATAGAGTGCCTTGATGGTGGGGTGGTTCAAGTGGTATGGTGCCTGCCTAACAAGGGTTTGGCCCTGTGTTCAATAAAAACAGCCTGGTACTGACACAGATATGAAGACCAGTGGAACAGAATAGAGGACCTGGATATAAATCCATACAGCTATGCCCACCTTATTTTTGACAAAGGTGCCAAAGACATACAATGGAGAAAAGACAGCCTCTTCAACAAATGTTTCTGGAAAAAGTGGTTATCTGCCTGCAAAAAAAACTGAAACTAGATCCATGCTTATTACCCTGTACTAAAAAATGGATCAAGGACCTTAATATCAGACCCGAAACTCTGAAGTTAGTACAGGAAAGAGCAGGGAATACTCTGGGAGCAATAGGTATCTGTTCAATAGAACCCCGAGAAAGGATGGACAAATGGGATAACATTAAATTAAAAAGCTTCTGTACAACAAAAGAAATGGTCTCTAAACTGAAGAGACCACCCACAGAGTGGGAAAAAACATTTGCCAACTATACTTCAGACAAAGGACTAATAACCAAGAATGGAGCTCAAAAAACTAAACTCTCCCAAAATCAATGAACTAATAAAGAAATGGGCAACTGAACTAACCAGAACTTTTCAAAAAGAAGAAATTCAAATGGCCAAAAAACACATGAAAAAATGCTCACCATCTCTGGCCATAAAGGAAATGCAAATCAAAACCACACTAAGATTCCACCTCACCCCTGTTAGAATAGCTATCATCAAAAACACCACCAACAACAAATGCTGGCAAGGATGTGGGGAAAAAGGAAACCCTCCTACACTGCTGGTGGGAATGCAAGCTGGTGCAACCACTCTGGAAAACAATATGGAAGCTTCTTAGATTTGCCATATGATCCAGCAATCTCACTCCTAGTTGCTTACCCAAAGGAAAGCAACTCAGGTTACTCCAGAGGCACCTGAACACCCATGTTTATTGCAGCGCTATTCACAATAGCCAAGTTATGGAAACAACCAAGATGTCTCACTGTTGACGAATGGATTAGGAAAATGTGGTACTCTCTTGGGGATATACCCAAAAGACTGTTACTCCAGAGGCACCTGCACATCCATGTTTATTGCGGCACTATTCACAATAGCCAAGTTATGGAAACAGTCAAGATGCCCAGCACTGACGAATGGATTAAGAAAATGTGCTATCTATACACAATGGAATTGTATGCAGCCATGAAGAAGAACGAAATGTTATCATTCGCTGGTAAATGGATGGAATTGGAGAACATCATTCTGAGTGAGATTAGCCTGGCTCAAAAAACCAAAAACCGTATGTTCTCCCTCATATGTGGACATTAGATCAAGGGCAAACACAACAAGGGGATTGGACTATGAGCACATGATAAAAGCGAGAGCACACAAGGGAGGGGTGAGGATAAGTAAGACACCTAAAAAACTAGCTAGCATTTGTTGCCCTTAACGCAGAGAAACTAAAGCAGATACCTTAAAGCAACTGAGGCCAATAGGAAAAGGGGAACAGGTACTAGAGAAAAGGTTAGATCAAAAAGAATTAACCTAGAAGGTAACACCCACGCACAGGAAATCAATGTGAGTCAATGCCCTGTATAGCTATCCTTATCTCAACCAGCAAAAACCCTTGTTCCTTCCTATTATTGCTTATACTCTCTCTACAACAAAATTAGAAATAAGGGCAAAATAGTTTCTGCTGGGTATTGGGGGGGGGAGTGGGAGGGGGAGAGAGGGAGGGGGCGGAGTGGGTGGTAAGGGAGGGGGTGGGGGCAGGGGGGAGAAATGAACCAAGCCTTGTATGCACATATGAATAATAAAAGAAAAATGAAAAAAAAAAAGAAAATGTGGTACTTATACACAATGGAATTTTACTCAGCCATGAAGAAGAATGAAATCTTATCATTTGCAAGTAAATGGATGGAACTGGAGAACATCATCCTGAGTGAGACAGGATGATGTTTTTGTCAGAAGACAAAAAAAATCTTATGCTCTCCCTCATATGCGGATTTTAGATCCAGGGCAAATGCAGCAATGTTGTTGGACTTGGGTCACAAGCTAAGGGGAGAGCACATATGGGAGGAATGGGATAGGTAGGAAACCAAAACATGAAAGTGTTTGATGTCCCCACTGCAGAGGAGCTAATACAGTAACTTTAAAATGACAGAGGTCAATATGGGAAGGTGATTGGGAAGTAGTGAAGAGGTCAGGTAGAGATGAATCAACTCGGGTTGTAACACACTTGTGCATGGAAGCAATGTTAGGAATTTCTCTGTATAGCTATCCATGTCTTTCTTATTATGCTTATGTCTTCTTTTCAACAATATTGGAGGAAAGGGCAGAACAGGTTCTGCCTGGAAGCAAGGGGGGCAAAGGGGAGAAATGACCCAAACAATGTATGTACATATGAATATATGAAAAAAGAAAAAAATGTTTTAAAGAACTGAAAAAAAACCTAGTAAAGAAAAAATATAGAGAGTGCCTTGATGGCAAGGTCTTGCATACATCTATGCATTATTTTATTCAATCCTTTTACTAGTCTTGAAAGGCAGAGCACATAAGAACTCTGAGGCACTAGGAGGTAAAGAAACATCACAATTATTGAGTATGCTAGGCTTTCTAACTCTCATCTTGTACTGCTTCCCTTGGAATTTTTCTAGCCACTACAATAGGAGTAATTCCTCCAAAATATAGGTTTGAGGGAAGACATAAGCAAGATACCAGGTAATGTTAATATGTTAAGCAAAAATCAGTATCTTAGGAGCCAGGAAAGGATTGACATACTCTACAATAGTCTCTGTGTGATATCTTGGCTTACTTCTACCAGTGTTTGCCCTCCAACATATAAATATGTATAAATCTTTTACAATCATCAATCTTTCTCTCAAAGACTTAGGAAATATTTAAGAGAAATAGATACAGTAAATTGAGAAATACCTTGGATTTGATTTAGTGTCAGAACTTCATTCTCTCATCTATAATCAGGTATGACACCCACATCCTATGGTATTGTAAGGACTAAGTGAGTGGCTATGTGATCATGCTACCTGACTAGCTGTATAAAGCTGTACACATGTAAATGGTTATTGACACTGTGGCTGTTGGATGGTAGCAGCAACTATGTGAATAAATTGTCATTCCCTCCCAGGACAAACCATCTGGGGAAGTGAGAAGAAAAACTGATAGAATTCAGCCTCTAACCCGAGCTCTTTTTTTTCCAGAATGCCCCTTGTGCACATACCGTCCCAGTAGCTGGACTCCATCCAGTTGGCAGCATTGAAAAGGGAAGCAGTGCCACCGTAGCATGCATTGGTGGTATCTATGCCCTCAATGTCAGTGTTGCCTGATTCCTGAAAGAGTTCCATGAGCACTGTTTTGACAGCCTTCGACTTGTCGATGATGGTCTCGGTGCCCACTTCCAATCGGCCCACGGAGTCCCATGGGACCTGTGTACGCTCCATCAACCGTTGCACCACCGTTAGGCATAGGGAGTTGATGTCTTCCTGGACTGAGCAGAAACCCATACGGGTTTGGCCCAAGCCCACTGTGTACTTCCCTGCTTCCACATTGTTGAACTTCTCCAAGTCAGTTTGGTCCACATATTGGGCTGGGAAGTAGACCTCCAGGGCAAGGATGCCCACATCTTTTGGCCAAGCATCTGTTTTGGCCAAGGGGACTGCAGAGACTGTAGAAAACCTGTGGGGAAGATACCAATCATAATCTTACTGATAATCTATAGATAGCTGCCTCAAAAAATAGTAACCTAGCAATTATTTGATTCATGGCGATATATTTTTAAACTATGTTAGTGAATGAGTAAATTGTTAGTATTGTCATATGGGCTGAATTGACCCTTTTATCCTTATACTCTTACCATAAAGTCCACTTTTTCTGATGTCAGTATGAATACACTAGCTTTTTGGCTACTGTTTACATGGTAATCCTGTCCCTTTATACTTTTAGCACGTCATATTTTTTGTCCTGTTATTCTTTCAACCTCTTAGAGTCTTTATATTTAACATTTTTCTTGTATAGACTGTATTTAGTTGAATCTTTAAGAAAATTTAACAAGTCTGATAATATTAGTGTATAAAATTAGAGTGTTTAGTCCATTTATGTTACTGTAGTTACTGATATAGTTGGAGTTAATTCTGCCATCTCTCATTTATTTCTATTTGCTTCTATGTTCTTTGTTCCTTTATTCCCTTTTCCTGAATTCTTTTTGATTAAGTAAATATTTATCAGTCCTTTTTATTCCATTTTTCTTTTATTGATGATCCCAGAGGTTACAATATGCATAGTTAGCTTACTGTAATATAACTTAAATTAATACCTCTACTAGGAAAGTGACATCAGTATATGGCTGACTAGGAACCTGGCTCACTTCCCTCCACGAAGGAAAAACAACAGCTATTTCATTGACACATTTGAGCAGAATGCTGAAGAGAAGTGGATGTGGTAAAGACATTGCATAGTATGGAGATATATGGTAGCCTCATAAAGAAGGGAATTATAGCATCTACCCTCCCATCTGAACCAAGGGGGACTTTGCTCAGTAGGGAAAGGGTAAGTGAGAGGCCCCCAGAAGTCTTGGCTCACAGCACAGATAACTGAGACATTTGCTGTTGAAGTAGTCTATAGCCTTCCTAGGCCCTGAGTCAATGTTTACTACAGATCCCCAAAGAAAGAGCCTAGCCCAGGTTGTTCCCTCCCCACCCAGGCTCCTAGAGCACAGTGCTATCTTGAGACCTTGCCCACCTCAGATTCTGTGAAATAATCAGGAAGCCACCTTTATAACCTTTGGCTGTGAAACAGCCTAGTGACCCTTCCTATCCTCCCTCCCACAGCCATGGAAAGCACTTAGTCACCCCATCCTGACTAGCTTGGCCTTCTGAGGCCCACTTCCTACTACATTCAGGAGACCTCACCCACTAACCCTGAGCTCTGGGAAGCAGATGGGCAATCAATCATCTCTGAGTGGCTTGGACTATAAAAGCTGTCACTCCTGAGCAGGGTTGACCCACAAAGCCCCCTAGGAAGCACCCAGGTGGCTCTACCCATGCTCCTGAAGCTCCCCTAAAATCAGTTGAGAAGCCCATCTAAGAAGGTTACCTCACTCTCACTAAGGCCCTGAGAGGCAGATGGGCAGGCTGCTCTGAGCAAGTTGGAGGTTCAACAAAATCATCCATGGTTTTCTGTCACTTACAGGAGCACTGTCTGGGCTCAGCCCCTGTACAGCTCAGCCCCTGTACAGCCTTTGCACACTGGCTGCTGAGCATGCTGCACCACACCCACCTGGGCCCACTGGGGTAGCCTTGTCTCCACATCAACTGTGGAAACTGACAGTTGCTTCCCCCCACACAGAGCAATCCCACACCTCCTCCTACAGCCTAGGCCACTGAGACACCATAGACTTCACCAACATTGTTCACAGCTGAAGAATCTTCACAGATGTTACATTAAAGCACCCATTAGTAACCAAATCAATGTAGCCATTCTGACCTACTACCGGGAGAAAACCTTCTACTATAAAAGCCAGTCTATAAAATTTGTAGAAGGAATTGACCCACCAGATGCACAAATACCAATGTAGGGTCACTAGATAGATGAAAAATCCAGGTAACAGGACACCTACAAAGAAACACAATAATGCTCTAGCAACAGACCCCCAAAAGAAAAGGAAATTGATGAATTGCCTGAAAAATAACTCTAATAATGATTTAAAGGAAACTTACTGAGATACAAAAGAATACAGACAATTCAGTGAAATTAGGAAGCTAATTCATGATATGAATAAAAAATTGAGGACAGAAAGCACAATTCTAATGGTGCAGAGAAAAAAATGGAAGGTCATCAGAAGAGGGAAGAGGAAAACCGTTTTCTGGGCCCATTCACCCCTCTTCAGCCCTGACTCTTGAGATCTGAAGTTTCTCCCTCAGCTCCCAGTGCTCACCAAACACACCTCCCACCTGGTCAGTGATGATCAGAGAGCTGCGTGGCTCCCTGCCACCCATGTGATAAACTAAACTAAACCATGTGGTCTCTAAACTATTCATTGTACCTCAGAACTAACCCTGTCTTTCATTCTGCTTATGCTCTGTGTTCAATGAATACTGAATACTTAAGAAAATGTTTTGTTCTTGGGTCTTCCCCATCCAGCACCCATGGAATCTCATTAGCTTCCTTATTTTCTTCATGAATGTAAAATCACCCCCATCCCCCACCCCCACCAAACCAATGCATACAGATCCAGTGTCCCAGCTCAGAATTTAACTTGTTTCTGTATTTGTGAGGAAGGGGTGGGCAACAACTTGCTTGTTTCAATCAGCAACAGTTGGCCTCTGACCAAGAGTCAAACCTCAGTCTTTACCAACATTTTGACTTCACTGGTCCAGACTCCTGGAGACCTCATCCCATTTCTTTTCGGATGTCCTCATTGTCAATGTCACTATCCATGTCCTGATCTAATATTGAGAATGGTGCTTATGGGGCACCCTTCTGTAGATATCTGTCCCCTCTAATCCAGCTTTAAGTCTAATCTGAGAGCTGTCCCATGCCAGCATCAGCTTCCCTTGCCTCTAAGAATGAGCAAGACCACCAGACCAAGATACAACAAAAAAAGAAAACTACAGACTAATATCCTTGATGAGCATAGACGCAAAAAACCCACAAAATACTAGCAAATCAAATCCAATAGCACACCAAAAAAGACTGCATCATGATCGAGTGAGATTTATCCCAGGGGTAATAGCATGGCTCAATGCATGGAAATCCATGTACGTAATGCCTCATGCTCACATAATAGAGAATGAAACCAATGCGACTATCTCAATAGGTACAAAAAAAGAATGAGATAAAATTCAACAATGCTTTATGAAAAAAGCCCTCTCCTTTCTTTTTACTACACAGAAACAAAGCTACCATTTCCCTATGTTTGGAGGAAGCCTTCTGCTGGATTCCTTCCTCTCTGCCTTTTCTGATTATCCCTCTCAGGATTTATTGAGCACACCCAACACAACTGACACACAATAGTGGATGAATAAGACATCCTTCGTCCCCACAAAGAGGCAGAGGTTTTCAGGGCTCAGTGTGTAATAGAGCCAGCAAACCTGTGGGGGTGCAGAGGACAGAAAGCACCATTCTAATGGTGCAGAGACAAAAAAAAAAATGGAAGGTCATCAGAAGAGGGAAGAGGAAAACTGTTTTCTGGGCCTATCTACCCCTCTTCAGCCCTGACTCTTGAGATCTGAAGTTTCTCCTCTCAGCGCCCAGTGCTCACCAAACACACCTCCCACCTGCTCCCATGTGAAAGTGCCTGAGATTAGGTCACTTGGTGACCTTCTTCATTGTTCACACTGGTGAAGCCATGTGCTCACAAGAACTTCATGGTTTTTCATGTGGAGGAAATAGTCTGTCCCCTTACTGCTCTGGGTGACTGAGTATCTCCATGTTACAGAAGCCTAAATAAGAATGAATGCTCTTAGTTCAATCACTTTGGGACTCTGTGCAATTTTGGCACTTCCCACCAGGATGGTCTTTTTTTTTTTCAGTACTGGGGCTTGAACTCAGGTTCTACACCTTGAGCCACTCCACCAGAAGAGTTTTTTCAAGATAGGGTCTTGCTGACTATTTGCCTGAGCTGGCTTCAAACTGCAATCTTCCTGATCTCTGCCTCGTGAGTAGCTAGGATTACAGGCATGAGCCACCGGCACCTGGGTCAGGATGACCATTTTTAAGGAACGATAGGAGGTAAGAGTAGTGCTGGTCATTTTCCAACCAGAGAGGTTGAGAACTTATTTATCTGCCAATTTATCTAGTGCCCTCTAAATAACTGGAGTTCGTACTTGCAAATATTTATGGAGGAGCGTCCCCAGGACTACAGAGCTAATGGTTAGCCAGCACCCGGAGCTTCCAGACTCACTGGCTTTCCCCCAGCTTTGTTCTCACTCTGCCTTCCCTGGCCCAACTCTCCCCTAAGGTTCAAGGAGAGGTGCCAAAAACAAATCTCTTGGTAACTTTTGTAATGGTCTTGGTAGGATGATTTCAGGATGTCAATTTCAGAGCCTGGAAGACAGGGAACATGTAATGTTAAGAGTGCACATATCATTTTGCACCTTCTCTAAGGAGCAGTCACTTTACTTAATTTAAAATCAGTTTGTTCAGGCATTGCCTGGTTCAAGAACGTGCACCAAATTTTATTCCTTCATTCCACCTTGCCTCCTTCCCTTGTGCTCCCCTCCCCTGTGTTTCCTTGTGCTTGCACAAGTACCTCCATTGAGGGTGACTGTGTGTTTCAGAATTAAATATTATGTGCCAGAAACTGTGTTGGAAAAGATGCCATGGGGTGGAGGATTGCACAAGGAAGAGGGCGATGTTCTTGAAGACAGCCATGACAGTGTGAGGAACGAGATAAGCACAAACATAGCCCAGCTGTGAGGCAGAGGCCATGAGGACCACAAAAGGGACATGGGCAAAATTCCCTAGGAGTTCAAAGAAGGCAGAGGAGTCTGCATGTGGGAGGACAAGGACAGGCCTCATGAGAGAGGCTGCATTTGAGATCAAGCTTGGTAGATGAAGGTGTTTCTGCTAGGGAAGGAGTGGAGGGATGGAGAGGAAGCCTGAAGGCTGGACTACTGAGGAGGAGAGCAGGAGTGGGGAACGGGGAGGTGGGAGACATGGGTGGTCTTGCTCAATCACAGAGGCAAAGGAAGCTGATGCTGGCATGGGACAGCTCTCAGATTAGACTTAAAGCTGGATTAGAGGGGACAGATATCTACAGAAGGGTGCCCCATAAGCACCATTCTCAATATTAGATCAGGACATGGATAGTGACATTGACAATGAGGACATCCGAAAAGAAATGGGATGAGGTCTCCAGGAGTCTGGACCAGTGAAGTCAAAATGTTGGTAAGGACTGAGGTTTGACTCTTGGTCAGAGGCCAACTGTTGCTGATTGAAACAAGCAAGTTGTTGCCCACCCCTTCCTCACAAATACAGAAACAAGTTAAATTCTGAGCTGGGACACTGGATCTGTATGCATTGGTTTGGTGGGGGTGGGGGATGGGGGTGATTTTACATTCATGAAGAAAATAAGGAAGCTAATGAGATTCCATGGGTGCTGGATGGGGGAAAACCCAAAACCAAAACATATTCAGTATTCATGGAACACAGAGTACAAACAGGGGACTAGTCCTGAGGTACAGTGGATGGGTTAGGGACCACATAATAGCACGTGGGTGGCAGGGAACCACACAGCTGTATCTCATCATCGCTGGGTAATACTTGGGCCAAACTAACAGGGTGTTTACAAAGAAAAAGAAGCAGGCATATTCTTCTTGCAAAAGCATATGCACACACGTGTAAAAGTATACTCACATTATCTGTACATTTCACGTCCCATTTCATATCATTGGAGCATAGAGAAGCACTACTTCTTATTCTTATCCACTTTGGATCTTGGCTCAGTGACTTTAAGTCACTTGTTTAACTCCACTGTGGCTGTGGAGTCCTGAGGGTCTTGGCTAGAGCTGAGGGTTAGAGGTGAGGAAGCTGGAGGAGAGGAGAGGGCTATGGGCTCTGCACTGAAAATTCTGCTTCCTGTTGCAGCTAGCAGAGGAAAAGTTGCTGTTGTCCCAAGTATGCATCACATGCTTGGGATTCTCCAATCCTACAACTGAAAGGACTGTCCCTCTACAGACAGGTAACTGAGACCCTGAGAAGTTAACTTGCTTGTCAAAAACTATGCACAAGCCTCACCAGTGATGCTTCAGAAAGAGTGGCCTGTGCTGTCCTTGGAAGAATAGGACTTACCGTTGGTGGGCTGCTGGGAGCAGGCGAGCAGGTGTGATGGAAGCACCCTTCATCACTTGCAGCACCTGTCTCACTGGAGCCAACAGCCGCTGCATTTCCAGAGGAGCAAGTTGAAAGCTAGCAGTTCACAGCCCTTGGGAAAGATGCCCAGCAATTCCGGGTTGGCCTTTATAGAGAGAGCCCTGGGACTGAACCAGAAGCCACGCCTCAGCTTCTCCAGGCTCAGCCTGCTTCAAAAACTGGGCCAAAGGTCTCAGAACATGTACGAGTCAAAGAAAAACATCGTCTCTCCAACATGTACATAGCTGCCTGGTTCCTGGGTCTTGTGGACTGGCTTCCTTTTTTAGGCTCCCAGGCAGCTTTATTTTTGCCCCACCACCAAAGGGGGAAGGCTTTGAAGTTCCTTGTGACACATCCATAGGAAACCCCAATTGGCCTCTCTTGGACCCCTTAGTTGAGCGAGTCTCACTTGCTGGACATAATCATCTCTGAGGTGTGAGCTGTGACTGTATAGTATAAGAAAAGAACATTGAAAACCAATGGAATGAATGTTTGAGTAGCTGCTCTTCAAAGAGGGGAGTGGGTATTGGCCCATATATGAAGGCTGGGCACAAGGAGCCTGCTGTAATTTGCTTATCTTTACTGTCCACCACTATGTGTGTGTAGTGCTGCACAATTTCCAAGTTGGATGCAGTGAGCACTACAGTGGAGATACAGGACCCCCAAGTGGTGACTGTCATTTGAAGCTCAAGTTCTCCTAAGAAAGAAGGACAAGGTCAAGAGCTATGTTGAGAGATGTGGTTTCTCACCCAAGACTGACAGCTAGTAAGTTGCAGAGTGGGGACTCAGCCACGTCTTTTGACTCCAGATTCTACTCTTTCTGTCTGTTCTTCTACTTCTCCGTGCAAAGGTTACCCACATCAGGTATTTGTATTCTAAATGAATCTCTGCCTCCATCCTTCTCATGGCACTGGTCTCCCTTTATGTTTTATGAGGGGCATACATCTACTCAGTGGTTTATGCACTTATCCCTTTTGTTTAATGTCACTGTGAAGGACACAGAAAAGAATCAGTGGTTCCTGCATTAGGCAGATAGAGTTGACTTTATTTTCCTGAAGACAAAGAACCTCTAGGAACCCCCCACCAAAGTCCAGAACTCCTAGTCTTCTACCATCTTTAGATTCTTATCTCCATACATCATGGTGCATTGCTATTCTGACTCAATCTCTCACCTAGCTCTGTCACTTGTACCCTTCCATTGAGCCGTCTTCAAAGTTCTATCATCAAAAAGATGCCTCATTTCCTAACTGGACATGGTAGTGTATTCCTGTAATTCCAGATAATCAGGAAGCAGAGGTAGGAGGATCATGTCCAAGAACAGACTGGGCAAAGTTCGTAAGACTACCTGAAAAACAGACTAAAATAAAAAGACTGGGATCATGGCTCAAGTGGTACAGCACTTGCTTAGCAAATGGGAAGACTTGATTTCAATACCTACCACCACAAAACAAGACAGAGAATCTTTATTTTCTATCTCTTCTCTGAATTGTCTATTGCTTCTTGTCTGTGTCACCCTGCAGCTTTTTCAAATGGTGGCTGTGATCTTTTCTTCTCTGGACCACCACAATCCAATACAGTTCAGTGTGTAAAATAAGGCATGTGTCTCTTTGCTCTTTATTGACACATCAGAGTATTTTTGCTCTCCATCCTCTCAAAACACCCTATTGTCTTAAAGCACATGCCATCAGTCTGGGTTGTCCCATGTCCCTTTGCTCTTGCAGTCCACAAACATTCTTTCTCCATTTCCCCTCAACCATAAAGACTTAAGCTCATGAACCACAGCCTTTCTCTCCACCATCTCGGCATTCTTGGTCTCTCACTGAAGTTTCACTTCCATGTTTTTTGTCCTCCATATGACTTTACCCTCACATTCCAGTCATAACCTTGATGCTTTGAAGAGTCTTGTAAACGGGGTTCAAGAACTGTGCCACATCAGTTGTGAAAATTAAATGCGCTAATGCGCACACATGGCTTAACACAGTAACTGCCTAGTTAAAAGGGGGAAGGGGAGGAGTTGATTCATCTGTCAGAATTCCCAGTGTTTATCACAGGCCAAATTTGTTATGTACACTGAGGAGGAAAGTTTGATTAGATTGGGTGGGTTTTGTGTTCAATTTTATCAAATGGCTCCATTATGTGAATAATCTTGTGTGAATATTCCTGTAAAAGTCTATTTTTTGTAAATTGAGAAAGTTCCAGAAATGTATTATAAAAGTACCCATTGGCGGGGGGGTGTTTTTCACAGTGAAAAGAATCTAGTTGGCTTAGTTGTATGATTGCAATCAAGTACAACGAGGTAGCTCGCCAGTTCATCTACTAATTAACCAAACTGTTGAAGGAAATGGACACAACAGTTGTGTCTAAAGAAGACACACCTCCCCAATACTTAAATGAAGCCACTTTTTGATACTTCTTTTTAAATTAATAATAGCACATATTTATTCATTGAATAAATTAATGGGTTTTGCTGTGGCATTTCCACACACGCACAATCACATCCACCCTTCCCCTCCTCCTCCCTCCCACTTTCCTCCACCCTTCCCACTCCCTAATAGTTCCTCTTCTACTTTCAAGGTTTTTGTTTTTTCAGTTTCCCCTTGACCCCCGTCCCCCTTTTTTGGAATGGGGTTTGAACTCTGGGTTCATGCTTGCAAAGCAGGCACTCTGCCACTTGAGCCACACCTCCAGTCCATTTTGCTGTGGTTGTTTTTGGAGATGGGGGTCTCACAAACTATTTGCTAAGGTTGGCCTTGACCCACAATCCTCCTTATCTCAGCCTCCTAAGTATCTAGAATTGCACATGTGAGTCACCAGTGCCTGGCACCCCTTGACACTACTTAAATGAAAACAGAGATCTTTACTTTTGCTTTGAGATTTTGGAGTTCTTCAACTGCAATAGGGTGTGGAGAAAAGTAAGAATTAATTTTTTAAAAATGTATGCTAAGTGTTAGATAAACAGTAAAAGAGAAATTGATGATTAGGATTTAAACATTACAAAACATTGTTTGTTTTTAAAGCAATTCTGCCATGACAGCTGATTTAGTGAAGTCAGCATTTAGCCCATGTAAGGTCCATGGGTCTTCTTTTTCAGAAAGGTGAAATCCTTTCAACAAATGCTCTGCAAAAATACCCAAGTTTCCTGTAACTGGTAAATTGAAGCCACCTCCTCCCACATGGATTGGCACTTTATACTTTGATGGAAAGGAAAAAAACCTCAGAATTTTAAGAATCAGAATGTGGGTAAAAAAGTTATTTCTAGATACAGAAGTCTTTATATTTTGGGAAACAAACTGTTTATTTCATAATAATCCTGGTACAGTGTCAGTCATCTGGAGCTCCGCACATCCAAGTGCAGGCCTGAGCTTCAACAGCTCTGCGAAGGTGACCTGAATTCTTACCCCCATTTGGAAGAGAGGGACATTGAGGCTTTGAGAGGCTAAGTGGCCTGGCTTGTGGTTTCCCACACGGTGAATGGAGTGGTTTGACTCTAACTGTGGTAGTTCTGAGTCAGAGCGCTCTCATTTCATGGTCACATGGATTCTGCTGTGGAACAGGGGCAGCAAATGAGACATGTAATTTTGTTGTGATTGGCCCAATCTCTTATTTTCTAGGCCTGGACTTTTGTGGTTACCTGGGATGAAATGCAGACCTTTAATTCCAAAGCCTGCAGAGTTTGGAGAGAGAGGTGTACTGAGTCTTATGGGTAGTGTATTTAGATTCCTATCTAATCACATCAGAGTTGCTGAGGAAAGTAGGGGAAAGGGCACAGAGTGTGATGAACTGGTGCCAGAAGGGAAACAATGAGCACTGGTGTTCCAATGTGTGGTCCTGCCTTTGATGGGCATTCAGGTCCTACGTTATACATCCTCTCGGGGACAGACCTAGAAAGATGAGGTGGGGTCTCAAGTGGGAAAGATCCAATGTTTGCACGGGGGAGAACTTGTTAGAAGTGGTACAGTCATCCATGATTCTCAGTGAGTAAACTCAGGTCATCTTTTCTCTGTGCTAGGCCTTCATCTTTGCATACCTTTAAACAGTTTGAAAAATAATTCTTTTCTCAAATTTTATGTCAATAACAAATAATGTGTCACAAAATGCCCAATTTGCACAAGTAATTTCTTTTCTGTTTTGAGCTCCTGAAATTTTATTAGTAGATAATTATCAAGTAATCTGTCCTAGTTATCATCCTAATTTGGGTTTGCATAGCATTTAATCATGTCAAAACTTCTGGCAATGTGGCAAACTGTCATGAATGTTCTTCCTACATCCACCTGGGAAGCACCAGAGAAGAAGAAAAAGTGTGAATTCAAACAAAGTGTGAGAAACCCTTGAAGAGCCTGAAGGTGGCTGGGGCTGATGTGTGTGTGGGCAGAGGCTGGGCTGGAACCTGTGGGCAGGAAGTGAGAGGAGAAGCAGCGAGAGGAGAAGCAGCTTATAAACCAGCTGTGGGCCCATCTGTAGATTCGCTAATCCTACTTTGACAATCACCCTAAAAGCCTCAGTTTCTAACCCCAACAATATTTTCTCCTACTGCTGTGTTTTCAAGCAGCTCAACCAGGGAACCTTAGCCAGAGAAGTCTCCTGGTGAAGCACAGATGCAGTTTTGTGGTGTCTGGGGCAGTCCACACAGGCTGTCCCTGACCTCATCTTAAATGTGGCCAAACTGGGTAGTGCTTCCAGCACCAGAGAAGCCATTACTGCAGACAGCACAAACTCACAACCAAAATAATCCACTCCTGAGGACCAGAAGGGGAACAGGACAACACTACCATCCAACACACAGCTTTTGAAACAGATGAAACAAATCGGAAGAATAACACTGTAGGGCATTAGAAGAAATCATAGCTCAGAATTGCGTATGTAATAATGAAATAGATTATTGAAAGAAACATGCTAGATGAGGACTACTACAACATGGAAACAAAGTAGTTAGTGAGTAGGACATTTGATTGGGGAACTTTCAACAAAGGTCAGTAGGAAAAAGAAAAGGGGAAAATCTTTTTCTGAAAATGCTAAGATATTGTCAACAATATTT